CCGTCTCCTCGACACGGAATGTTTCCTAGCCCTTCTCGTGCACAGATTTGCGCACGCCGTGGCCAAAATGCGCGTGAAGCAGACGTCGGAGTCAATGCACAGATGGTGCAATCAATATGAAGAGGATAGCTTACCTTCTTCTGGATGTTGTCCCTCCGGTTCGGTCTTCTCGGCACACAGTACACCTCCAAATATTGCTGGGATCTGATCAACGAAAACTAGCTCTCCTGACCCTGTGGAGGTTTTATGCGTGATCGCCGAGCAATGCCGCAATTTGAAATTACATCTTGTGCCAGCCGGTCTATCGCGTCGAGCAACACAACTTAGGCCTAAAACGGAAATCCTCACATGACCTTCACATGATCATCATCCAAATCAGGATGTGCCCCTTATTTCTGGGATCCAGCATCGCCCAAGCTGCTCGGATTCACTCGACGCGATAGCCCGGCTGGTTCAGGAGCCTGCCAGACCGGCGCATTGTTCCGATATCGATGTCGGATCGGCTAGATCTGCCTGCGATGATTGATACACAGGGGCATCGAGACTGGTTGGCCCTCTGTTGGTCAGACTCCTCGCTCATCGTAACGTCTAAGGATGTCGCAGCCAATCAAGACGTGCGTCCTTGGTGTGGGCCTCGCGGGTTTGACGTTCCACGTCCCGTTTATATTGGCTTTGCCGGACCTGTTCGTCCTGTCTGCGGTGCTTGAGCGCAATCCAAGTACCCCTGGCGGAAAACTTCAGCAAAGGTTCGGAGTAACAGCCCGTATCCACAAGACGCTCGATGCGGTGCTCGAGGACCCAGAGATAGAGCTGGTCATCGTAGGAACGCCGAACGAGGTAGGGATATCTTCACTCGACATTTCGCTTCTTTCCGTTAACACGCCGTGCAGACCCATTATGAATTCGCTAAACGTTGTCTCCTCGCTGGAAAACACGTCCTCGTTGATAAACCGGTCACAGCCACCGTTGAACAGGCCAAAGAACTCGGAGAGTTGGCCAAATCGAAGAACCTGGTGCTGTACGGATTCCAGAATAGGCGATGGGACTCCGACTTCATGACCTTACGCAAGTTATTGAGTCTCCCTGAGTCGTCTCCACAGTCCCTGGGAAAGCTGGTCGAGTTTGAATCGCGGTAAGCAACAACGATACGCCGTTCAGAGGCGCTCCCCGGCTGAACAATGTCCAGGTTCGACCGCTATCGAACGGGACTAAAAGGAACATGGAAGGACATGCCGCTTCCTGCCAGCGGCCTGACGTACGATTTAGGTTCGCATCTCCTCGACCAAACCTTGGTTCTCTTTGGCCGGCCGGAGAAAATTACAGCTTTCATTCAAAACGTGCGCGGTCTCGGACACGAAGACGTGGACGATTGCGTATGTGTACTCTGGGTCTCTTCGTGATTGGTCTGCCAACTGAATCGGCGGATCATTCGTATCATCCGTAGTTCACTATATTCTTGCACTATCAGAAGAGTGCCAAGTTGCCGTACGGCCTTACCGTTATCCTTCGCGCCCATATACTCTCTGCAAAATCGAAGCAGCTGCGATATGTCGTACGTGGGACGAAGGGGACGTACACTAAGTATGGGGTGGACCCGCAGGAAGATACGTTGAGGGCCATTTCTTCACCTGCTTCGGTTCTCTCGGATGCGCAATACGGGGTTGAACCGGAGAACATCTGGGGCGATCTAGAGACTGTACGGGAAGATGGCTCATTCGATAAAGCAATGTGCGTCCTCGGGTTTCTCGGGCCTTCAGGCTTCCTACTTCTTACATACTCCCTCAGTTGGCCGTCGACGGAACAAGGTCAATACGCCGGTCTTTACAAGAACCTCGCGGGCGCCATCCGTCACGATGAGGAAATGGCAGTCAAATGGGCAGAGTCAACTGCCGTCATCGAGATGATCGAACTTGCCCATCAAAGCGCCAAGGAGGGCAGGACCATCGCGGTGCCAAGCCTTTGAGAGAATAAGTGTCCTCGGTGCGCAGAGGCAGGCGGTGATATGTATCTTTATGCACTTTATCCAAAAAATACAGCAATGTTCGATTGATATCAGCTTCGGGGCTATTGACGGATGATGTGCGCGATAAAAAGTGCAGTCTAGGTTTCTATCTATTGAAAAGATGCCATTATTAGCAGAGTTCAGAGTCGGGAAGGGATCCGATGCCCGCGGGTGTGAAGGTTATCCGGCACTGCTTGCCGTGCCACCGATATGTGTCTAAAGCAGTATGCAACTGATTCCCATGCGAGCCTCTGTTGATCAGATCCTTTCCTGTTTGAGCGAGAAGCGATGGTCACGCAGAGATGAGGTTGGAGAAGGAGGGCACGACTTGTGCTCCTTGCTCACACAGTCCTTGCGCTCGACAGTCATATCTCTCCCAAGCAACACAGTATCGGAGTGGCACCGATGATACGGAACCACGTAGATGAGTTCAGTCGATCGCTTCCTGCCCGAGTCCGAGGACCGTGATTTTCCGAGTGAGAACGTCCCACTGGGCAACCTTGTGTAAGAAGCGGTCCTGGACGAAGTCATCAGGTGCACCGGGCTTGGGACCAAACTTTGCCAGGAACGGCTCCCCAGAATCGTCGCAACCCAGGACGGATTCTTGTGAGACCAGATCGAGAGCCTCCACCGGCTCGGCGGTGAATATGCATCGCATGAACCCGGTGTCCGTGTACTACGAAATGGTATGTCAATTCAACTGATCGTCGTGAATGGGGCTCGACGCTTACTTCCCCTGCGTTCACGACGAATGCAAGAGCATCGCTGCCGTGATACAATCCAAGCTCCAGGCTCTTTCCCGGACGTAGGGGGGCAGCTTTCCACGGAGAGGGTTTGTAGAAGTCATCAACAGCTATTCATGAGTGCGTCAAGCCCGAGAAGATAGATAAGAGCCAAATGGAGGCACGTACCGTATGTCGCTGGGTCCATCCAGAATACGTACGGATACAGCGGTGTCTTCCCGTAGTTACGCAGGACAAGAGCATAGAGTGCGTCCTGGTCATGAGGCACCACTGCCTCGCCGTTCTTCCAGGGTATCGCCTTGCCTAACCTGGCTCCGAGTGAGAATCCTTCCTTGGATCCATCTGGATCGATGATTCTTCGGAGCTCCACGGTCACATCGTCAGCAAACGGACGCCGCGGGTTGTTGCGATGGAGCAGAAAGTTGAACCGGGCTACTCTCCGGAGCACCCAAGGGAGGGCGTACGGTATGAACTGTGGGAGGATCCGGGGTGGGCTTGTGTCTAATCGTCGTAGTCTGTCGTCACGACGTTGTATTGTAATGCCCTGGGGGTCCACCATGAGGATAACATCGGCGTGCTGCGCCGGAACAAGTTCGTAGTCCGACGAAGCTGTGGATGCTAAGAGACGCGACCTCACGTCTTTGCACATTTCCGCCACTCTTGCGTTCGGATGAGGGGCGCTCCCGAGAGCGAATTTGAGCGGGCGCTGCGCGACAACTGCCGCTGTTGTTGGGGGTAAGTCAATGCCCATATCCAGCCTAGCAACGCTGTGCGTTGAATGCACCTCCGTGACGTAGGCCACATCGACTACGCGGCCCAGCGAGCGGGATGTGGGTCGGTCGTATAGATCGAAGACGGTGTTTAGTCGGGTACCTGTTGATTCACCACCTTCTATGAGGCAGTGTCCGGGGACGCCGGCAGGTCGAACAGCGAACAGACGAGGATACGCATGATCGTTGAAGATCAGACGATCCATGTTACCCGCTCGGCATTGGGGATGCTGTGGTGGTGACTCGGCATTGCATCGACGGCGCTGAGAGAATTTGGACTCCACGGCGCGAAGGATCTCAGCGTAAGAAAGTGGGCGTATGTGAGGGTCCTTGAGAGCCCATATGAGCAAGCGAGTGAAGTATCCGCCATCTTGATTGCCGCAAGCAATCTCGCCTGAATCGCAGGCCTTGAGTGCGACGAATGCTTCGTTGTCGCCGTCAAGGAAACCGCCGCTTCGATATGCAGAACAAGGTCCAGGCATCGAGTTGTGCCACGCGCCAACATACGAGCGTAAGATGTCGTCGTCCACGTCATCTGGAAGGGGTGAGACATACGCCGGGTGAACGCCCCGAATAAATGAAGTGTGATTGGACGATGATGATGAATCTCTGTTGCCAGTGTGACAGCAGTCAAGCACGACTGTCAAATTATCGCCGTGTAATGCAGCAGACGCTTTCAGCGTTGCAGCCAACGTCCGGCCAGGTATACCAGGGATGCGCCGTCCTGTCTGGGGATCGACAAGCGATTCGTCGCAAGTCAGCACGGTCTCGACGATGCCGTTCTCCGCTTCGTCGTCATTTTCTCCTGCGCTTAAGCGCCACGGTCTCGGCGCCTTCGAGCGCGAGCCATGCCCAGCGAAGAAGAATAGCCGAGCGTCGCCGAAGGATATCAGCGGGTTATCGACGAGATGGGTGCGTATAGCGAGTAGCACATTAGCACGAGTGGCCTGCTGATTCTCCAGCGCTATGATGTTAGAAGGCGGGACGTTCAAGGTGTTCTGTAGATAGTCGCGCATGTTCTGCACGTCTTTGATACAGCCGTGGAGATGGGGATGACGAGCATATTGATCGACGCCTACAAGGACGGCCCACATTCTCCTGACTATCCTGAGGGCACTATCAGCGGAGCTCCCGCAGGAATGCGGTAACGTACGAGGAGGACGGGGGGGAGGGGTGAGTTACGTCGCCTGGGAGTTGAAGGGGAAGGTAAGTTTGGCTTTGTGAGCTCTGCGCGGCTTCCCTCCTTCTAAAGTATGGTCCCATTTTCTCCGCCGAACCTTTTCCAGCGTTGACCAGGAAATGCGAATCAGGGAAGTGTTGTTCTTAAGTTAGATGCGACGGTAGGTGGAAGCACAGCCACATGGCCCGGGTGAAGGAACACGACCGGAGGATGGCAAGCGGGTGGGGCGGGAGGAAGATCGCAGGTGGTGATTAAGCCGGTGGCCATGGACCAGGGCTCGTGCGAGACGGGGGAGCTCGTTGGGGCATGCACCGGCCGATTTAGAAGCGCGACAGCACGCGCTCACGTCCAGCCGTGACAGGGGCGTCCGCGAAGATCGAAGGCAGTGCAGTGGCGATGTCCCGGATTGGCTTGTCACGTGGAGACCCTTCTCAGGGCAGCGGCCAATCGACCGCGTCGACCGTGTCTCCAGATCCGACTTCACAGAGTGCTGGGAGCCCGAGTGGGTCGGGGCATGCGATCATTTGGCGCATGTGTATCCTGCTCGCCAGCCATCATGCCGTACGCGCCTGACGCGATGGCAATGGCTCTACTAGGCTGGCGCCAGGACACTCCTCTTCATCGTTATGGACGGGGAATCAGTCAACCGAGAAGCCCGTGACTGATAGCAACACCATGAACATCTTTACGAGGATAGAACGGCACCCGATATATCAGCGAACCACGCCCTCTGGTCTTTTGGCGAGGCCCAGTCAGGCCCATGTCCTGCATGAAAGGTACGGTTATCCGTTAATGACAGGGAAGGCCGGCAGCAAACGGGTTCATACCTCCAACAAGGGGTAGACATTAACAAAGTTTTTGACGTCCAGTATCAAAGTTTCATTAAGGGTGTTGGGACCCCCACCCACCCACCCCAACCTTCCTAATATGGATATGTGTTCCCACGGTCACAAGACTCTGAGGAGCACGGTGTGTTCAGTCATCCCGACTTTCTGCACACAGCCCCATATCTACTCGTAGAAAACTTAGAGTTGCCCAAGAGGAGTCTGAGAAGCCTTCCAGAAATATACAAGCACATGGTCCAGTGAGTAAAAGCTGATAGAAAAAGCTACTACACTCAGAATCGATTGCAGCACCTGACGCAAAAGAGGTGATGTACACGGCCATTCGGTGTATTTGCTCCCACCTGAAAATTTGTACTTACTCACACCGTAATTTCACTTGTCTTGCCCACCTGAAGAAGTCTGAAGTCCGCCAAGTGGCATCCACAATCCGCGACACCAGATTTCCATTGGCTTCCCAAAAAGGCAAGTCTGCTCTCACGTGGTCATTGCCTCAGTGCGCATAGCACTCGAACTGTCTTATTCATGGAGTAGAGCTGATTTGCAGCCAATATTTCTCTACGGAAACCTCGGTCAACTTGCTTCTCTACCAATGAGAGGCCGCCAATTGAATTCGCCGCCAATATTTATCCGCCGCAAATCAGCTCTAGTGTTTGATTCTTGCGGCAAGCGATCCAGCATCGTCGGAACGTGAGCAAGCAATGTCATTGGCGGGGAGGTGTTCTATATATGGTAATACAGTGATCGAGAGACTCGCAATTTCCTGAGGCGACGACCAGGGAACTTGGCTGGCCGTGCCTGTGGTATCCTGTTGCAGCGTATTCACAGAGTTTCCTATCACCCGTCCTAGGCATTTTCCAGGACAGCGATAAATGCGATATCCTCAAGCGCCGCGAGTGGCCGTGTACATGCACATCATGCCACTTCACCACCCAAGCCATGTCAATGTTTGATTGCGAGCATGGATATCTTTGTGCCAGGCGGCAACACTAGACCGTGAAAGTGCACCGCCACCTGCCATATATGGAAGGTAGCAAAGTTTCGTTAAGGCCTGACCCGGACCCCCCCACCCACCTAGTGGCGTCTCGGCAACTGCCGATGTCCACCCCTTGACCTCCAAAGAAGGTTTGAAAGTGAATGCCTTTGATGCACGCGGCATCTGTGCTTCGGAACACCAGGCCCGACACTTCGATGACTGACTTTCCATCAACCCAGAGTTGCATTTCTCCTACAAGCAGTGCAATTCAGGTTGCCGGTGAGATAATTGTCCGCGTTAAGGATAGACGTAGAAGAGAGCACCCACCGTCCGGTCGACCCGGCTCGTTCAGTCGCACTCGCTGGGCGATCGTAATCCATTGACCGGCGACAAATTGGAAGGAGCCTCTACCAACGGAATACCCGTAATCGGGGTTTCTTTTCGATGACGGCGGGACTCGTAATAGGCTCGACTCGTTGGCGTCTTCCAACGGCATATATGCGTAGATTTCTCCATCGCCGGCCGCCCTGTCTCCTTTCAGTCCGCATGCGTAAAATGTACCAAAAAAGTTGGCACCTCCACATCAACCGCAGGTCGAAACAGGAGCAACGGTCGTCTTTTCTTCCACCCGTGCATCCATACGCCTTCTCACCGTTGCCTCCGACTGTGCAGGCGTCGGCATTGATACTCGGCGAAGCGTGGCCACGCACAAATGCCGGGCAGCTTGCCCCCTTTCGCCCACCGCCACTCCTTCTCGAACATCACTGAGTAGCTTAACACCGCTTCCTTCGCGTGAGCGAGCTCAGTGGCAAAACTTGTCGGTCCAGCGACGTAGAATCCAAACCCGCCGGGCACGGGGCCAGCGGGATTCACGGACCCCTCGGGGTAAAACGCCTCGTATGCTGGAACGGCTTTTCGAGGGACGTATACGATGTTATGCGGCGTACGCGATGTGACCTTGTGCACCCCGAGGTCTTGATCGGACAGGTTGACGACTTTCACTGCTGCGGGCAGATCGGCCGTGTGGGTGGTAAATCCGCATGTAATCCGCTCAGTGTTGATTGGAAACAGAAGGTCAGCCATGAGTAATTGAGTCTTGAAGTTTTGTCTAGGAAGGATCTTTCGCAGAGATGAATCACGACAGCTAGAGCAGCTAACGTTCAGTCACTTCAGTGCGGAGGTGCGATGAAAACGTACGGTATGTTACGCGTAATGAGCGCTTTACCCAATCGGGTCTCGGCACCTGCCGGTCCGCCGTCCATCATGTGACGTAGCTATTGGCCCTCCACGTTGACAATGACCGCACGGCATTGGTCGTCGCAGACGACTCTCTGGCAGCAACCTCCATGTCGATCGTCCAGCTCCGTGTCGAGTTACCGGCCCACTCGTACTCATTCACTATTGACGTCTCCTCGAATGCTACAATTCTAGATGTCAAGCGCGAGATATCGCGGTCATGCGCCGGGGCACCGCTTATAGAGGGTCAGCGACTGATATACCGCGGGCGGTTCGTCGCCGATGCAGAGAAAGTAGAGGACCTTTGGAAGGTACGTGCAACTCAGATTGGCAGAAACGCCGTCATTGACTTTCCCTACCTAGTCTTCTGACGAAAGTCGGGTCTTACATCTTGCGGTCCATCCATCGGCTTGGACAACTAAACCTCCAACGATTTCCTCACCAGCAGCTCCGGACATAGCTTCGGCTTTACAGCAGGCTGCTGAGATGCCATCCTTGTCGTCCCAGCAGTCATACCCATCCACACCTGCTTATCAGCCTGGATCGTTTGCTACGCTCGGTCATAACCCCCTGACTTATGTCATCTTCCGGCACAACAATGCTCTGCTTGCTCTGATGCAAGAGCCTTTGGTACCTATGACGGGCTCCGCTGAAGAACGGCAACTCCGTACGATGGCTGTCGAAGCCGTACAGAAGTATGGCTTTGTCTGGCCCAGTATTCTGGACGAGGAGTTCCCCGCTCCTTCGAATGAGACCAATGGGCTAAAATACGAACGGACCACGATTCAGTGAGCAAGCCATTCTCGCATGCTATCGCAGAATGTCTAACGACACTGTCAGGAATGGTCTGTATCTCACGCTCGTTACCCCCGACGCCCAGCCCACGCCCCTCCAGAGTCACGCTCTTAGCGTGTTAACGCACACGTTCCCTCTCCTTTCCCTTTCATTACCCAACGTCCGCTCGCAGACGTCCATCACAGCACCTCCAGATGTGAACGTGCAGGACCTGAATCGTCACTTACGGCAAATGGGTATTCCGCCACTCCGTGTCGCAGTTGCGGACTTGCCCGTCCGAGCTCTGATGGCTCCCATGCTGATACTGGCGTTCCGCACCGCGTTCCTGCTCTACTTCTTCTCTCCCACCAAGAAACCCGTCTTCGCCTTCATGATTGGGGCCTGGGTCCTGTACGAGGCCTGGTGCGCCATTCGCGGTGTGCTTGGCGGGGAGGTCGATCGGGATGATGAAGGTCGTGCACGCCCCGTGCCCCGCGCTGCAGCCAACGCACCGCCAGGTGTTGCCCAGGATCCCGCAGTCGCAGCTGCAAGGCCTGGTCAGAATGGTGCCCGCACCGCTGCCAGACCCAGCCAATCCGACATCATACTCCAGAATATCGCCGACGTGAACATGGCCATGGAAGAGAGGGCGCTCTCCGCATCAGCCGATTCCCGTCCGGTACGGGAACCCAGTTTGGGCCAGAAAGTCTCGATGTTCTTCTTTTTGCTCTTGACCACGCTGCATCCCGCGATCTGGGATCAGCGTCGGAAACTCCTCAGACGGAGGGAGGGTCGGATACGCACTGAGGCCAACGCGATGGAAGCTAGTGAGCAGCGCGGGGTTGAGGGCGAGGACGATCGCCAGGCTCAGGCCAGGGCGGAAGCAAGAGAGCAGTTGTTGGCTCAGCACCGGCGCAGACCGCAATGGGTGCGGGATTATATTCAACGGGTGCGCTCGGGAGACTGGGTAGATGACTGACCGCACTTTATACTACAATGTACCATTATAACTCAGGATTTTATGCCGATGTAGCTCTCAGATTGCTTTCGAGACGAACATTGGCCATAGGGTGACAGGCTGTGCAGCATCATGGCATTGTTCCCGATACAGCAGCATACACGAACGCCATCAGCTGCTCACGTTCTCATCCCTTTCTCCTTTGCTCTCTGTCAGTCCTGCTCGATCGGTCGTATACCAAGGGAGCTGAGGATACAGGCTGGCCCAGCTCGACAGGCCTGCCCAATAACCCATGTCAACCTTCGACCAGCTCGTCGCCGAGCTTACTCGTGACGCGCAACGCGTCCAACCCAAAGATGCTCTCCAGTTCTGCGCGAACTGGTTTCAAGCCCGGCTGGAGGAGCAACGCGCCAGAACTCGAAGCGCACTAGCACATCGCTCCTCGCGCTCGTCCTTCTCCCATGATGTCCCTATCGACCACTTCCTGGATACCCCAATGACCGGGCCCGGTATGGGACCCGTCGCACCGACGACTCTGTCGCCCTATACCCCCGCCGCACCTCGAACCTCGCTAGCGGCTATACACGAGATTCAAGAAAGCCCGTTCGGAACACTGAACGTGCAGGGGAACGCGCTGCTCGAGGAACCTCTGCATCAGCGGAACATGCTGCCAACACCTGGCTACTCTTTCGATCGCGCCCAAGGCCCGTCTCCACTCAGTACGCCTGCACCACCTGCATGGGATGGCTTCAACAGCGCCGGAAACCACAGCCCGGGAGATTACCTCCATCCTCCATCTGCGATGATCCTCGCACGCCGCACCTCCGTATCGGCCGAATCTATCAACGTCGATCAAGGCTTGGATGAACAGCCCCCTGTCTACCCGAAATCGGAAGAGCAACTCGGTCGCATCAGAGCTTCCATTCTCAATAATTTCATCTTCCGCGATTTGGATGAAGAGCAGGAGAAAGGGGTGCTGGACGCGATGAAAGAAATTCGCGTCGGAGGGGATGAGGTGGTGATTAGGCAAGGAGAACAAGGAGAACACTTCTACGTCGTGGAGGATGGATTGTTGCATTGTTATATCCGACCTGAGCCACTGCCCCCCTCGTGGCTATCCGAAGACCCGAACAAGATCAAAAACGACCCAGCGCCCAACGAAAAGTTCCTCCAGCCTGATTATCATCCCGTCTTTGGCAAGAAGGTGGCGGAGTGCAAGCCTGGCAACTCGTTCGGCGAGCTCGCCCTCATGTACGGCCACCCGCGTGCTGCTACGGTGCTATCTATGGAGCCGTGCACCTTGTGGTCGCTGGATCGCATTACCTTCCGCACGATCATCTTGAAGGCGGCGCATAGGCGTCGCACAATGTACGAGCAATTCTTGGCCTCCGTGCCGCTCCTGACGGGTCTGGAGACCGAAGAGCGGAGCAAAATTGCCGATGCGTTGGTGAGCAAGGCATACGAGGACGGGGAGGCGGTGGTGCAGCAGGGAGAAATGGGTGATACGTTCTTCTTTGTTGAGGAAGGAGAAGCCGTCGTGACCAAGCTACACAACACGGAAGACGGTGAGACACGCGAGCTCGAAGTCGGAACGCTGCGCAAAGGCGACTACTTCGGAGGTGAGTTCCGGTGTCGTCACTGGTTCAATCGGGGGTTCTCAGATAGCCCCCCATCACAGAACTCTCGCTGCTCCGCTTAGCGCCCCGGGCAGCGACGGTCAGTGCGGTGCGACGCTCCGATCCGTCTCAACCGAAGCTGAAATGTGCCGGGCTTGATGCGCACGCGTTTACCCGGTTGCTCGGCCCACTTCGCGAGATAATGGAACGTAAGGCTGGCGAGACTTATGGGACGACGTATAGGTTCGGTCGGTGACCAGGCAAGTAGGAACGGGACTGCATGATTTGTATCTCTAGCGTATCTTGGATGGAGCCATTGTTATTCGGTCATTGTTGGTGCTGTGTGACCGTTGTCATGAACGGAGCTTCATTGTTGGCGTGGGAAGTCCGACGGTGTCCGCGCTTCTTCCCCGCCAGTGAACACGATCATCTGGGGCACAAATAAAATGCATTCACCCTCAAAGGAACCCTGTTCTCCTTGCCAACTCGTCGTTCACTTTCCCCCTCTTCCTCCAACCCTCATCCTGGCTCTGAACGGGCTCTCCATAAAAGAACAAAACCACTCCGTTCCGGCTCGACGCCGACTGCAACAACTCCCGACCAATACGTTCCTTACTTGAAAACAACAACGCGCTCCGGAAGAGAGCATGTCGGGCTTCGGTGGCTGTAAGCGTCCAGGTGTCTGTTCTGGGTACTCCGCTCGACTCATCGCGTGTTTACTAGTTTTGAGCGACGTCTTGTAAGTCTCCGAGTGCCGTTCTACGCGCTACCGACGCTCATGATCCCTCAGCGGCAATGGAGGCGCTAGCGCAACGGCATCCACTACTTCCGATGGGGGTCTCTTCGGCAACCCCGGGACTATCATCAGCATCAACAGCGATCCTCTCGGCTTGAGCTCTGTTGTTGGCGGTATCACGAGCGCCCTGTCGCCGCAAAGCACGGACTCGGTGTCCAGCGTAACGCTGACGTCCCAGTTGTCGAGTTCGACGATTTCTCTGGTTTCCTCGTCTTTGACGTGAGTTGGTGAATCTGGCTTTCTCCACCGTTGCTGATGAGACGTCAGCCCGTCCTCAACGTCGAGTGGAACCTCCGCCACTGGCTCGTCCGCGGTTTCCACCACTTCCTCGTCCTCTTCCGAAGCTCAGACGACGCCACCCCCCACCTCAGTGCAGGCAACTTCGACCTTCGCCACGACATCCGACGGTCAGGTCTACACCGTCACGTCTTTCGTGAACGCGGTCACCTCGGGAACCGCTTCTTCAACTGCAGTCCCAGTCCCTAGCCACAAGACCTTTCTCCAGAATACACCTTTGGCCGCTACTGTGCTCACCCTGGTCGGTCTGATCGCGCTCTGTATCGCTGTGTCCGTCCTGGCGTTCGTTTTGCGGAGACTGAGGCAGAAGCGGTTGCACGACGAAGCTATCGTGTGGCCGGACGTCAACGCACATGGTGGCTCATCTTCTCCGACGCGTATGAGCGCTGGAAACACGTCCGTAGGAGCTGGACGGGATGCGTACTATGAACAGGACAACGCGGAGAAGGCTCGCGGCTCCATTGAGAAGTACGGCAGCGAGGAGAGCGTCGCCACGGGGTACGGCCCTGGCTCGACCTTGGTCGATCACGGAGTCCAGAGGAAAATGGATCAGTACAAGCAAGATTATCCTGCCCCTCCGCCCAACCAAGGCTTCTACCAGCCTGGGATCAATCCCCAGTGGGCTCCCGCTCCCGGTACCCAGTATCCGAACCTGTATCAGAATTACGCGCCACCCGTCCCGATGAAGTCCCCTCCCATCCAGAACCCGTACCCCCAACCCCCTCAAAGGGCGCTCCTGCCGCAGCTAAACGTCATTACTGCGACGCCTAACCCGCCTTCGCATCTCGGCGCCGGCAGCAGCCCGCGTACCTTGGCCTTCCCGTCCTCACCCAGCCCGCAGAACCTTGACACCCCTGCCGCCGGCAGCGCCGTGCAGCGCACCTCGCTCATCAACGCGAACATGGGCAACAGCTCGCCCACGGAGCGCGAGCCTCTCTCTCCGGGAGGCCGCGTGGGTCGTCGGCAGAGCGCGCACGCCAGAGAATTGGACCCATCCATGCCTGCTCTCCCAATGCCGAGCCCGCTGCCTGAGACGTTCGGCAAGGATGAGTACGCGTCCAGGGTCAGCACCGAGAACAAGACGCTCAAGGTCGCGAACGAGTGAAGTGGCTGCACCTCCTCACGGTGTACCTCAACCGATCCTTGCTCCCGTAAACGTTACCCACCTCATATGACATACCCCGCCATCGCGCGAACGCAATGCGAGCTGAACTATCGCTTCTCAAGCTCCGGAGTATGTATAACTAGGACCATTGACAATTCGCATGTAGCAAGTTAATCGAGGCTTCGATCTCTAGTACCGTCAACATTCGCTCGTTACGTTCTTTGTGTTCATGCACGCTGATTCTGCTGTGCACTCAGCTTGACGCTAGAGAGAATTGCAACTGTATAATATAGTGTACTATAGAGCTTATCATACGCAAGACATCCATATTTCGCATCAGGATTGATGCCTATCATCATCCATCCAGCGCCTTCAATCCACTCTCTTTTAGAACGGCCGATCCGATTTTGAGGAATCTTTTCTCCTGGTCCGGTGGCGGATCTATCTCGGTTTCGGCAGCCTCTAAGCTCCTGCTGGGGCCTATCCTCGTTTCACGGCGTTCTAGGTACCAAACCAGCCATGTTATGAGCAGCGTCGCTGCGCTGACCGCGATCATCGCGATCATTCCTTTCCTGAAGCGGGGGGCATCCGTCGCCGCGTAGAAGACGCGTTGCCACCAGGCATTTATCACGTTATTCCACATGCTATCCGGAGATCAACAACCTGGCTGGGTATGATCCATGGGTTATATGACAGACACGCACTTCATGGAAGCGAGTACGACCGCTCGCTCTTGGGCGTCATCAGCGCAAATCTGATTCGCCCAACTATGGTCACGTTCTTGAATGCGTGTTCACCAGAGAATATATATGATATCACTCACGCGAACGTCGTTGCCTGGCCTGCATACGACGCGCCAGAAAGATCTAATATGGGATTCAGTCAACAATCATTAATTGTGATTTATTCAGCAACCCACAGTACGCAAAGAATTTCAATCCGGTAGGGCTGCTCCAGACGAGGATGCAGATTGCGGAAATAATACACGCAACCGACATGTAGACCAGAACAGGCCACCGAGCACGGCTGCGCGTGCTGTCGGTCCAGATAGCACAGACCAGGGTAGAGACGATCCCAACGGCGGTTACGCCGGACGGATAGTTGTCTAGAAAACGCGTTAAGTATTCGCCGTGCATACTTCGAAAGACCAGCACACACCAATCTTCTCAACCGTGTACCCACCAACAGCCCGCAGGTATTGACCCATCAAGTTATTGGACCCGATGCTCTCCGTCTCCCCGGAAATTGCGAACTTGACATAATCCCAAAACCGATGAGGAGTCCAGGCATATGTAATGTAACTCATGGCGCACCAGCAGACTGCATGCATACCACCTCCATCTTCCCAGGACCCTGCGCAGGAGGGACCATGATAGATGATGCTGATCCTTGTCGACGCCCCGGAGCCGGTCAATAGCAAGGGCGCGCTCCTGTCAGCAAGCTGCGGTCAGCGGCGAGTCGACCGACGACGAGTTGCGTGTTCGCGAAACAAAGAGAATGGTGCCACCTCCTGCGTAAGGTAAAATGCTGTCGTGGTTGTCGGGGTATCGGGGAAAACTAGGAAGCCGTAGAGCGCAATGGGCAGGGTGATGATACCGTCGATAATGAATCTGGTGTTCAGCGGCTTCTTAGGGTGATATGGAGGTTTAGCAAGACCATCTGACGTACAACCACCGCCAGCCCGCGCGCCCCGCGACCCCATTCAGGTTGCTGCGTGCGCGAGTCAGCAGGACTCTTACGGGACAGCACCAAGATTACTCGCCGATACACCGCCGCTTGTAGCAGGCCGGAGAATCTAGGAGCTCAAGTCAATAGCACGCCTCCCGCGACATGAGAGAGCTCACAGCGTTCCCGCGAGCCCTGAGCTGGTGAAGACGCCGGACCGCTTGCCTAATTCGGAAGGCTTAAACCATCTTTAGAAGCCGGCAACTAAACATTAGCCTTCGGCACGGCGATTAAGGCAGCACGCTTGTGACCCACGAGCCCAGTACGTAATGCGTGCCGACGAAGGTGGAGGATTCGGCAACGCCCTGGAAGAACCGAATGGCTTCAAGCTGGGGTGGAAGCGAGCGCATTGCATGAGCGAGCCTCGTTCGCGCCGGACAAGTGGGGAGGAACTAGACTAACCTGTTGCACAGTCGTGACCGCGCTAGTGCTATTCAGACGGAGGGGTCAATGGGCTGTATTTGATAACAACAGCTACGGGGACTCGGCCGAGGTGGCATCGCAGTCCGTCGAGTAGCAAAACCCAACGTACCAGAAAGTGAGAACTCCCCACACAATCTGCATCGCGGGGAACCAGATGCGCGGTGGCACAACTTGTAACATCAAGTTATCTGCATCATTCCAGAGGCCACAATTAGCACGGGTACTTCACGCTCCGGCGTCGCCATCGAGCGCTCAAGCACAGCCTTGGAGAACGAAGCTCACTGGGGATCATGCCCACGATGTAGCCGCATGTGAACACTGTGGTGATGTCCTGCGGTTCGACAAGTCAGTATCATTCGAGCATATGACGGAGCTGCCGTCCGATTACATGGAAACCATGATGCGATACGCACATTGAGCTCCGTGCCGAACATTTTGAGATCTTCTCGCATGCCAGATACGTAGGCATTGGACACGTTCGACCTGTCCAGATCTGGCCAGGTCAGTCAGTTGCGTGGTCCATTTGTTGCTAGCAATAGCAGTTGAGCAGTAACGATGCCGAAACGTCGGCCCCCTCGACCCACGATCCGACCCATTTCCGAGAGCCATACTCACAATTCGTGAAGTACTGCATCATTTCCGCATCAGTATTCGCAGGATTGCAGATTGAATGACCCACCATCAAGCAGCAGTACGATAGGATGAACCAATCGATCTTCAGCAACAGCCGTCGTTCAGCACTCGTGGCTGGAACCTCTCCCCACATGATGCGTCGAGCGGTGCCCCAGGTCATCCTCATGGAACCGTGATTGTGGGCAGACTGTATGTAGGAGCCAACCTTGGGTGTTTGTCCAGATAACACCAGATAACACAAAGATGACACAGCCGTCGAGCCCCACTTCGAAGAAAGAGAAGCGGCGAATACAAGTGCGGGTCCGCACCACGGATATGGTACGATTTTACGCTGCACCTCTATGGACATGCCACCCTACAATATCCCACAGTCTCACAAATCGTCGTGAATCGATAAATCATGAAGACTTCGATGTCCTTCTGAAAGACCGATTCGCAGGAGAGCTTGAGGAGAAGGCGTGTCCCCTAAGAATAAACGTCGTCGAACAATAATAACGTGCCAAGCGGCCATTTTGGCTGGGAAGTTTCTGAATTTCATTGCTCCCGGATTTTTGCGCCGATGCGGCCGGTGCGCGGCCGCTGGCCTGGGTTTGTGCGCCGACATCGATGCGCGGACCATCCTTTCGGGGCTATTATCTCGGCCGGCAGTGAGAGCGATCTTGTCGCCGAACTGCCAAAGCCAAGGCGTGTGATAGTGTGAATATTGCGACCCTGGGCAGTGGGCAGGATACCCACTTCGCGCTTGTTCGAATGTTCCAAGACTTTCGCCGGTTTCACTCATCCGCGATGACTCAGAGGTGCCGAAGAGATCCGTCCAAGCCTTCATCGGGATGAAACGGGTAACGCCCACGTCTAACACCGAACATCGGCATAGACCAGCAGTTGCGTAGCAGAGGTTCGTTATGTCGCAGTGAGTTTAACGGGCGGAAGCGGCCGCATCGAGCGGCTATGGACTACGAAAGGATATGAACCGGAAGGGAAGAGCCTGCGCCCGCGGATCTGTCCGCTGCGCCCGGAAGTAGCATGGGAAGACGTCATAGCAGATGCCGCCGAAGGGCATCCCCTATTACGTGACCTGGTTCATCATCCGCCATGGCTCGGAAGTTAGTCAGACTCAGAAATCTGCAGAGCGATCAACGCCGACTGTGTCGAGACTCGGTTTATAAAATCTCGGCGGCATGTACGGCTCCGTCCCCCTCCTCCCCCTCACTCGCGGCACGCCATGCATACACGGTGGTTTGTATTGGGCCTCCTGACCCTCTCCGCGTCTCTTGTCGCTGCCCTCCCTTCGGCTGCACCCGCATCGCAGCCCATCCTGCGTGATGTGTCCGCGGGAGCCGCCGATCTGGCCGTATTAGGACTTCACGATCTAACAAAACGAGACGAACATGGACATCACCACGGTGCTCCCCTTACGGAGCTGGATGAGACCCAGATCTTGCAGGGACACGCGCCTACGCCGCCCTCATATTGGACGATAGACATTGACGAACCCGGAGATGAGCCCCGATATCCTGGGCTGATGGCCGCACATGCTCTTTTCATGAGTCTTGCGTTCTTTGGCGCTTTGCCTGCGGGTACGATTTGCCCTCGCCCTCTTCCGGATGCCGTACTAAGTCGATCGCCACAGGAATTGCGCTTCGGAGCGTGAAGCACGCGTGGCACGGAGTCTCCATCGGGCTGTTCTGGGGTTTTGTAGTCTTGGGTGTTTCGTGTAGCGCGCTGTACCGCAAAATGACACCGAATATGTACGTTCCACGGGATGACGTATCGAAGCCTCCGAGCCGTCCTACTGATCTACGCGTCGATCCCCCAGGTACGAAGGTCAGGTGCACTCTTCGCACGGATTCGCCGTCCTCCTGGTCGCCGCCGTGTTGTCGGTCATCGATGCGCTCGCATTCTTTGTCCGACTATTTAATTACCTGCGCTCCGTCCGTGCGAACCCCGGCACGTTCTCCTTCAAGTCATTCTGGCGCATCGTCTTTCTCAACCAAGATGAACATGGCCTGGGCTCCTCCGCAGAATACGCCGGTCTTGTACTGGAGGAGGATCCGGAGGAGTTGGAGGAGCACCAACTCCACAAGCTAGGCGAACTGGAAACCGTCTTCAACGTCGACGATGTCCACGATAACCACAATCCTACCTCGGAGTGGGTCAACGGCAACCGCCCAACCGTTCACCGCCAGAATTCGGGCTCGTCCGACCGGTCCCGCCATTCTGAAGAAACATTGAGAGATCCGACGACTCCGGTGCGGACTCACTTCTCAAGGCCCCGGCCGAGAACCTCGCTCGTGCTCCGCATCGGCAACGGTATCTTCGCAACGATGGAGCGTGTGCTTGTCTTCGCCGCATGGGCGCAGGTCACCGAAGGCATCGTGGTCTACACTGGCGGCTGCAGACAAAACTATCTGAATGGATGCTTGGCTCATATCATCAGTGCGTTCATCGTCGAGCATACCAGTGGTTCTTATCTGACATGTTCATCCGTCAGAGGGAAGCATCTTCTGGTGCTACGGTCTGGCGTCCTTCGCTCGGTTCTTGGGAGCATTCTCATCCATGGGTTGGGCTTGGAACCGAGCTCCTCATGGCGATCGCTACCCTACTGCTGAGTTCACCGAGTGTTTTGTCATCTTCCTGTACGGTGCCACGAATACCTGGATGGAGCGTTTCGGTGCGCATCCTGGCGACCCCTACACCACAAAACAAATCCAGCATATCGGTATCGCAGTAAGCCTTGTTTGCTACATACTGCTCCATTACCATGCTCATGGCTTATAGGTCATGTTTTGGTTCGCTGGTCTGGTTGGGATGGGTATCGAGTCCAAGACGATTCGTCGTTGGCTTGCGTCTGGCTCGAGCATTGTTTCAGACGAATTGTCTCCGGGGCAAGCCATCGAAGAACCTGCTAGCTACCGCGCCTCGTTCAACCCTTTCCCGGCCCTCGTCATCGGTGTGACCGGCGCTGCCATGGCTGCGCACGCCCAGACGTACCTCTTCCAGGTGCAGATCCACTCCCTATGGGGCAATCTCCTCCTCGGATTCAGCGTGTTGCGATGCCTCACATATTTCTTCATGTGGCTTGGCCCCCCGCGTTCCATCCTGCCTTCGCGTCCGCCAACGGAGGCGCTCGGCAGTTTCTTCCTTGCCTGCGGTGGCCTCGCGTTTATTTCATCCACTGAAGAGATCACTCTGGCAGCTATGAGGCGTGGCCGTGATGGTGAGCAAAACACGTTCCTCGATCATTTTTCCTTCTGACATTCATGTGTAGATGTTATGATGTTCCTCAACGTCACTGTCGCTCTCACATGTCTCGGCTTCTGTTGGACTCTGGCCGTTGTGCTTTTCAAGGCATGGCTCCAGTCCCGCACACATCCCGCGCCGTCTTTCCGCAGTCCACTCTAATCCTGGGACGAGTTCCCGGGTTTACCTCCCATCATCCACCTGTATCCTTTTGATAGCGCTACCCCCATCCATTCTGTTGTTTGTGTTGCATCGCTGGTCCCCCACGCATAACTTTTATTCACGCAATGTATTACTTACCATATTCGCTATGATCTTCTTCGATGACCCACTAATGCCCATCCTATACCTGTAATCGAGCAATAGGCCCCTGTGCTTACGATAGTGATAATACTAGCTCGTTTATGGAAACTCGATTGATTGCGTTATACTACCGCAAGGAAAGCATCGACGTTATACTACCACAGGGAAAGCATTGACGACGAGCTGCCGCATCGACGACATACATACTACCACAAGGAGATGCCGCTTAGGAAGAAACCGTAATCCGCAAGCGCCCCCATCCAAATCCAGAACCCGGACCATCCGCAGCCGACGAAGCCTTTCCAGCAGCTCGGTCGATCGTTGAAGTCCGTTTTGAAGAGGACGCGAGCTAGTTGAGCTGCAGCCATGCCCACGCCTAGGAAGAAGGGCGCTGACTGCCCGTTGAGGTACCCGGCGTAGGATATGAGCGAGATAGAAGTCGTCGACAGCCCCGCTAGAATCGGACGCGTCTGCTCGCCAAAAAGAAGAGCGGTAGATTTGATCCCAGCATGCACGTCGTCGAACTTGTCCTAACAAACAGCATGTTTATGACGAACGACCCCACAACGCGAAGTTTGCTGGATGTACCTGGTGGGCGTAGATACTATCGTAGACGAGTGTCCACGCGACGCCTCCCGCATAGAGGGGTAAGCATACGCTCCAATTCACTGCACCGGCCACGGCCGACCAACCGAGAAGCGCTCCCCAATTGAACGCAAGACCTGCCAGTCCATATAAGTTAGGTTGGTACAGTAAGGGAAGGAATCCCTACCAAGGACAGCCTGCGGCCAGTGCGTGACTCGTTTCATAAAGGGATATATGGTCACGACGGACAACGAGGAGGCACCTAGGAGGATGCTACAGCAGATATTGGTTTCAACATACTAGTAACTACAAAGCGCATTGATCATACCTATACCAGTTCAGCTGCGTAAGCACGCCGAGCCCGGCGCTCAACTGCACACTTAGGAATGCAATAGCTTGGGTAGGCGTGATGTCACCCCTGGCCAGCGGCCGAGTGCGCGTTCTGTCTGTCCTTCCGTTAGCACAATCCTCTGGTGTAAGGTACCAGCTACTCACCGACTGCACGATCCAAGTTCCGGTCCCATAAATCGTTGATGGTGCACCCCGCCCCTCGCATGATGAGAGCACCCAGCCCGAACAGACTAATATACCCCAGGGGGGTAGTGAACGGCGTCTCCAATGCGTAGGATGCCATTGTGATAGACCATGCTATGGTTGACGGTACCACCAGTGGTAGATTTGGGCGAAAAACATCATTCATTGAACAAGGTACGGACGGTGCTAGCATGATAGGACTCACCACACGGATAGAACAGTAACAAGGTACCAATAGGCTTATCTATACGAGTGAGGTATAGATATGGCCTCCATGACCGAGGCAGCCGTTCAACCCATGTATGTGGTGGTGCCGGTGATGGTGCAGACGAGACAGGACGGAACGGCTGCAAGCCAAGGACTGGTCGACGCGCCCCTGCGCGTATTCTGATAGCAGCATGTCTAGACTGAAAGCGACACGCAATACATTGCGGGTTTTGCAGCCGTCGGAAGAGCACTCGCGAAGGAGCAGCTCTGGTCAAGCTCAGGAACAGCATTGCTCCTTCGCGTTTGTGGCGCGCATTTTACCTCGGCGCGTCTCGCGCAAGTCCACCACGTTATAAAGGGATATCGACATCATACGATAATCCGACTTCGTTCCACGAATTGTACATTTGATTGCAACGAGTATATAAATGACAGGAAGCGCCAGAGATCCGTCGGGTGAAGACCAGAAACCATTATGCGAGCGACGAGGCGCCAATAAGCAATGTCGACGAGCAGCCGTCAGACCTGAAGGGCGATTTACCAGTCCTTGGCAAGCTTGAAATACCATTCCCAATCTGCGTATGCTAAATCAATATCAGAAGTTCCAATGTCATCGCATAGACTGACCGGCGTAGATCTCGCCGTCATCGTCAACGACTCGGCTCCGGACACTGTAGGTGCCTCGTGCCAGCATGCCGGACGGCGACTCTTCGGTGTCGAAGTCTTTGGTGGATGCTTCACCTTGCGGGTGAGGGCCGTACGACCCGAGCATATATTCCGACTTATCCACTGGGATCGTGTCAGGTAAGTCGTTGACAACGTCATGTCGTTGCCTAATGCTTACCTTTGATTCCAGCTCGCTTCACAACTTGGATGTATCGAACGCCCTTCGATGCAGGGATCAGGCTGGGAGGAAATGGAAATCAAATCGCAGCACTTACAGAGATGATCGAGTGGTTAACCTTGAACTGTATCCTCACACTGGACAAGGGCATGTGAGCGAGACCACTGCATCCATAGCTCTCTGGTGCACGCACTTATATTCGATGCCCTCTTTGATGGTGAAAGGGTGGTCCTTCGACTGGGCCGCCGCAGTCTTGTCGGTGAGATCCATCTTCAGGACTTTGCCCGCGGGCAGCGTTGATGATTTCAGCTCCATGGCCAAGAGGGTGACCTCGAATCATGGCTGGTCAGGTGAATGCATCGGACCGCAAAGACGAAGATGATCCACCTTAGGTCCAGAGCCGGCAGCGGCTACACCAGGGACGATGCCGAGGCTGGCCTTCCACCGCGCCAAGCTCTCATCCTCTGCATCGAGTTTGGCATACTCGTCGACCGACTTAGCAGCCGTGGGCTTGTAGCCTGCGTTCGACCGCGGTGATGAGAACACGCGGCTCGAGATGAAACCCTCGACTTCTACGCACCCGGGGTCGCGGTGGGCTTGAGATCCTCGTGGTCATCGTGCTGGACGCGAATATTAGTATCTCCTTCATAGGGGGCGTCCTGTCGTCCTCACATCGGCCATGATAGATCCTAGTAGAGAACGGGTTTAACAGCTGCTGTGTCAAGACGGTCGGGATGGTGACGGCCCCCCTGCATTGCAAGAGATCGATCATGATCGCTATCTCACGCGTCCTCCTCGGCAACTTCCACGGTATAGCAAATTCATTCAATGTATACATTAATATAGGAGTACACCCCCCTCCGCAGGGTCTCGGCGAAGTTTGAATACGATAATGCGACAAACCCACAGCATGCGACTGACGGCGAAAACCAGGTCAGAGATCGGGTGGGTGCATGCCCTCTGTGGTACACATACTAATGAGCTCTCCTCGGATCTCAACCGTTTGGTTGGCACATACCGCCTTTGAACCAGCACTTCCCCTTCGACAGATGGAAGCAGCGGATTCCGTTAGGGCAGACATGACCCCAGCAGCACTGGTCACCCGCGGGGCATTCTAAGCCTGTGAAGGACTGCGTGAGTGTAATGGTCGTTGAGACCCTGACGGAGCATGCCTCTTTTGATGGCGTTGCACGGCGCTTTCTATTGAAAAATGAGCGACTAGCGTATGCCCTTATATGTGGGCACGGCTTACCTTGGCGTTAGCTGCGAGGGTCGCCTGGCGAATATCATAAGCACCCCTTAATCGATGTGAGTAACCTTCTGAACCCGCGTACCAGTTGGTCGGGTGTCAATAGATATTCATGCGAGTACTTGCATGCCGTCTATCGGGAAAGAAATGATCAGATGCCAGCGCTTTGTGCTCAGGATATCGCTTGCCCCTTTGTTGCATGTCATGAGGTAGTACTCGTTGCATGGAGGCGGCTCTTGCCGGTGTAGAGGCTGACACGAATGCGAAGGATGAATACATGTATTACGACAAAGGAGCGGGCGCGACATGGACCACCTTGCTTGGGTCTATCAAACGGGGGCCGGACGTCTGCAGGGTAGCACGCGGAGGCGACTGAGGGCTGACAAGACCGCCGACTGTAACGGTTCCCCGTGCTGTCATAATTGGGAGCGAAATCGGAGGTGGTGTCTTCGGCGACTTGTGTGATACCAGCAGACCCCCAAATTGCACCCGGGGCAGACCGAATTTGTTGATGTCGAGGGGCGTGCCGTCCATGCATTGAAGTAGCCTGATTTTGCCTAGCAGGCTCTCATTCTGGAGTTCCGACAAAATGGCCATATGGGTCATGTCGTAGGCCCCTGATGATGTGGCGGTTAGGCGGCACATCGGTATTCGTGTGCATGCACATACCGCCAAAGAAGACGCGGAGAGTCTGTGGAAGAGCAGAGAATGTACGAAGGTAGTCTACCGCGAAATGAGCAAGCAGGATCAAGTCACAAATCAAACGATACATACCTTTGATTTTTGCAAAAGCCACATCCTTGGCAGGACCAACGTCAATGAGCGTGAAGCGAGGAGATGCTTGCGTAAATCCGAGTAGGAAAGACTCGAGCTGCTCGGCCGTGCATAACTGCCGGTCATTGACTAGTTCGAGCAATCCGCTTTTGTTATAGTAGACGGTGACCCAGAAGCTCGCCCGGCCGAGGACCTTAACCTCCTCGCTGGGGAGATATTCCGCCACATATCTAGCGATCTGCTGGCCAGCAAGGCGACCACCTTGGTAGCCCTGAACGAGTAGAGAAGAATTAAAGAAGTAACCGTCGAAACTATCGATGACGCATAATATGAGAGGATTGATATTCTAAACACCGGTAAGACCCCTGCATTTCAGGAAATTCGATTACTCACGTTGGCGGCCTGGGCGGCCTGTAGGGAAGCCATTTGCCGATTGAGGGCGGTCACCGCAGCATTATGCGCGGTGCTCTCGCGCTCTGCGGTGTCGAGCGCAGCGGAGTGTGCCTGCTTCCATACCTGCCTCTTCGCTCGCATACATCTCGAGGATAATGCATCGTCACTTACCGAGAGCTCGAGCTCTAAATGGGCTACCCGTGCCTCTAGCTCAGCATTGCGCTGGAGCGTGGAGTCAGATAGATCTGAAGGGTTGTCAGCGCTGATCGCGTGTCCGCGTCCCTGACACCACCGACTCAATAAACGTGTCAGGGTTTCATCCCTGGTTCAGAAAGAATAGTTCAGCCGTGCCTGGCGCGTCGCAAAGGACACTGTAACCGCACCACAATTGCCGGGTGACGCTTGTATCGCCCGCAGAGGGCGCAGCCATAGTGGACCGAACGATGTTCGAGTGAGCTGCACGGAGGGGACGGCGGGGACAGCGACTCACGTAAAGGCCTTATAACCGCCGGTGCCACGATGTTGCCTGCAACAGCTTCCACGAGCGGCCAAAGCGAGAACCAAACAGACCAACTCTTCGGGAGCATCCTCGAGCCCAGAACAAACAAAGCAGATCCCCAAATGCAGAGAAGCCGGTCACAGCTTCTTTCGGTCACGCGAGTGGCCAGAATAGTTACCACACGTACGGACCTTGGGAGCAGCGCCGTCCACGCTTTTCGAGTATTGTTCAGTCCGACGGCAACTTCCCGCCCTCGATCAGCTGAGCAGAGCTCCCTCTCGGCATCCTGCCGCCGCTCGCATACACTTCAAGGGCTCACATAGCAGACAATGGGATTTACAGCATAGCATGTCACAACAGACAGGGTCATATTCAGGCTTCCGAATGCATGTTTTCTGCAACATATATCAGCAACGTGGGCGTGGAGTCCGCGCCAGGGGCCGTGACTCACTACCGGTGAATTTACAGTTTCCCTGCTGCTTGTATTCTGTGATGCGGAATAAGTGATAAGACCAGCACGAGGTCGCAGATCACGTACGGCAGTGTCTGCCCTGAGGGCATTTGTGACCATAGATGCACGCATCGCCGTGAGGGCATGCTGCCCCTGTGAAATGCAATGGCGATCAGTACGAGAGGCGTGAAGCCGCGAAGATACTCACCACTATTGATAGACATGCAGGGATTGGATCGCTGAAGGTATATGTCGGTGAGAAACCCCATTCGAAAGCACCATTCGAGAGCGTACCGCAGCAGTCCGGAGCAGATCCATGTCATCGGATGTCAGTTGGTAGTCATGGCCGTACTTGCATGATCCTCCCAGCTTGCATTCAATCAAATAGAACATGGTGCACGGAGGTGGGGTGTGCTTCCAGAGTGGAACGTTAGGATCGATCCGGCGGGGCTTCTGGGCCTTAATCGCAGGGCGGCGCCACGTGTGGGCGACCGTGAAGCCGTCTTCGGATTCGTCGCTATTGCTGTGAGCATCTCCCGTCGGGGGCGATCCCGTTACGTTCTCGGAACGTGCCGCCACGGCCTTGTAGGTGAAGGGGATGGCAGAGGTAGAGCCCATCGGCGTGACCACATTGGAGAGGCCCGGGGGTGCACGCGGACTCGATGCGGACGTTTTGCGAAGAGACAGTGGCGAGGCAACCGCCGGCGGCGAGTTCGATGGCGAAATGTGAGGCCGTGGCGCATTGGCGTCGGGGATCTTCTCGGCCATGAAAAGGTTCTCGGTCTTGAGCGAGCGAAGTGGGAGTTTCTTAATTTCCGCAGCGATTTCCGTATAACCTGGGAGCAGAACGATCCTCTCGCCGTAACCTTGGGTGATGAGCGAGCTAAGGGTGGAGTAGTACCCATTATCATGACAACCTGTGCATCCGAGGAGCTAACATGAGTGTCAGAAGACGAAGCGAAGGGACGACGATCACCTCCGAAGAAGATCGTCTTTGTCTGGGGGGATTTAATGTGGTCGTTCAAATAAACTGGAGCGTGCTATCAGCGACGCGGGCAGGAAACAAACGGAGATGAGTCCTGACCTCGCAACCGTGCGTCCGCTAGCTCCTTGCCGCCTCCAACATCAATCATCAGAAAACGTTCGTCTGCTCGATTAAAGCCCGTCACGAAATCGTCGAACAAGGATCTCTCCGCATAACCGCCGCGCGCGAGCGCGTAGGCTAAGCCCGAGTGGTTGTAGAAAATGTATGCCCAAACGTCCACGTCGTTATCGGGGGCAAGGTACTCGCGAACGTCTTTCATCAACTTCTTCGCGGCGTTTATGCCACCGGCGTGCCCCTCAGCGAGGAACTCCTGGGCGAAGATCGTGCCGTCGCCGTCTATCAAACAGATGACGCGACGGGCTGACCCCTTGCGAATCATCCTATGAGTTCTCGACGACAATATGCCGGGACGCGAATTGAATGGGACTCACCTTCAACTCGATAATTTGGGCTTCCAGCACCTTCTTCTCTGATTCCCACTGGAGCGCGAGAGTGTTCAATTCTCCTTTGGCATTTTGTTCCACTGTTTTAGAATCAATGTAGCATCTTTTATAGACGTCTAAATCGGCTTGTAATTCCGTAATTCGTCGATGATACTCTGTATTCTTTCCCGTGATCAATCGTGAGACTTCATCTGGCCGGACCCCGCATGTCAGTACCGAATCACGTAGCCGGGGATAATGCCCGAGCTTACCAGTTAATCCACGAAGATGGTTCTCGCTATCGGATGGTCGGATGCCTGGTATTCAGCGCCATTCCACGTGTCTCAGGAACAGATATCTCACATGAGTTGCTGTGCGAAAGCGACAGAATCGCCGCCATCGACTATGATAGACATAACGCGTAAGGTAGTTGCGGTGCAGTGAGTGCCCAAGAGAAACAGGAAAGCGGTTGAACCACGAGCCACGCTGGCGCTTTGTTTGCTTATATACCGCCCTGGAACCTCCTGGAATGGGGACAAGGCGTGGGGGCCACCCCAACTGATGAAAGGCGCGACTCGGTCAGAGTCATGCAGGACAGCATGCCATCGCGAGGCAAAGCTATACTTGGACTCCCTTTCGTGTCCCACGATTTTTGTAAACCGTGAAAGGGTTCAGGGTGTATGCAAGAGTTGTGCAAGTGCAGCCCAATATCAATCCTTAGACACGGTGCCGCACCCGTGCATGAAGAGGAAACTTGGTGGTACTGATGCTGCCTCGCGTGAGGAGTTGGCTTGCCGGTTGCCAAGACGGTGGGGACAACAACGTAGAAAACAATGTCGGGAAGGCACAAGTTTATCGGTTACAGCACTTTCCGCATTCGAGTCAGAGCAGTGTGGTATGCGTTGATGCATGGCCGCGACAAAAGAGTTTGGACCGGGGATAACTGATGCATGGCCGCGACAAAAGAGCTTGGCCCGGGGATGACCTTCAGATTTGTGACCTTTGATTTCGTGACTGCCCCGAGTCTCGCACGCCACATGCGTCACCCCGCTCTTTCCCCGCGAAGTCTATAGCTTGGACGCTCTAGGATCTACTGACGGCAGACGCTACAGAGATGGTTCTACACCAGGTCGCCGTGCTCTCGTAACAATGCCGTCGTGCGCCAAAGTCTGACATATCACGCAACCCCAAGGGCCCGCCCGCGGAGCCAGAAGCCTTCGCGATTTAGGGATAGATGAAAACGCGGCGACGGGTGCGATAGAATTACAAGAACACATCCGATTACGATTCGACAGCCATGGGTGCCGCCGTCGCCGCGGTGGCCGCTTTTCCAGGCATGCTGAGCACCTCCCGGCCCTCCCAAAACTTGGGCAATTGGTCGCCCGGCACAAACAACCGCTCAGCGCCGTCCTTGGTGATGACGCACATGCGGATCACGCCGCCAGAGGAGCCGTCGCGCGCCATGGCGAGCGACAGTGCTGCAGAAAGCTCTATGAGCGTCAAGCGCGCGAAGATGGAAGAGAAGCGCGTACTGTTCTTGACGAAGTCAACCGTCTGGTCTTTGCCCCAGCCTTCCTGGAACGTTGCGTCGCAGTAACCGTATACGTATGTCGAGCCGGAGCCTAAGATGCTGTCAGCATGCATCAATTGGAGGGAATACCGTTGCTTACCGCCGATCGCCCACGGTTGCCGGAACAGGCCGCCACCTAGCGGAATGTTGTATACACTGGGTCCCACCTCCTCGTCCCAGCCGGCGACAATGATACCAGCACTGAGTGCATCCTTGTTCTCGTAACATAACCGTTGGAAGAGGGCGGCTGCGGTGTGTACGGAGGGCGGGCCCATGGATTGGCTGGCATGGGCTCATCAGCAGCTGCGAATGGGTACGAGTCAGGGAAAAAACTATAGACATACGTGTACATCTGGAGGTAGTAGTGCACAATGTCGGCCACCGCCTGCGTGTCCGCAGCGGATCCTGACCGACAGCAATAGATTCGTTCATCCACGCAGGTGAGCTTGTCCGTAACTCGGTTGGCCTGCGGTCGTCGTGTCAGATTTGCAGTACAAGGCCTCGAGAGTGATAGCACATGCAATATAGCTGCCCGTTGTCGTTCGACTGTCGGCGCCGATGACCACTCCATCCTTGAATTGGACGGCCATGATCGAGGTCTAGTTCACGAGCCCGAACATTAGCAACTCTAAACCCTTCACCGTGGCAGCCAAGCAACGTACACCGAGGTTGACCTCTCCCGACTTGAGCTGCTTGATTCCAACGTCGTGGTCCATGTCGCCTAGTAGATTTCTATGTGTGTTATCGTAGGAGGAAGAGGTACGTGACGGTGGCTGACGCGTCTCCCGGACGCGTAATGGTCCCATGCACGCGTTCCTCCTGCGTTCCGCTTCTCCTCACCTGCGTATTACATCGCATCCATGGCCGTCCAGCAACTAGGAGTGCTATACAGGGACCTCCAGCAGTCGTTTGGAAAGCGCCCATGCGACCTGAAGCGATGCGGTGAACTTTTGACGAAACTCAAGGTCTATACGCTCATTGAAGTAACGGTGTGTTATGGTGCAACTAACGGATGTAACGACGCTAGATCGGCATGATTGAGAACGGTCTATATCCGCCACGAAGCGATAACCTAGATGACCTCGTCGTCGCCCGTGAGTCGCAGCGGACGCTCAGGCCCGCCTACTTCGCTGACGCCGACCTACAGGCACCATCCTCGAGATCGGCGCCTTCTGGAGCATACGGTCCCACGACGTCCCCTCCTTCGACCGCTACTTCTCCCAGCTTCAGACTTTTTACAACGACTACGCGTGCGTGTCCTCGTCTGACAAACCCGATTTCGTTTCCAACCGATGTCATTACAGCACCGTCCTCCCGCCCTCGCCGCGCGAACATCCCATCCGCGGGCTGCAACTCACCCGCCTCCTGACTCAGAACCGGATCGCCGCTTTCCACGCTGCGCTCGAGTCGCTCCCTGCGTCGCTGCACGAGAACCCGTACATCCGGCACGCCGTCGACCTCGAGCGCTGGATGATGGAGGGCAGCTACGCCAAGGTCTGGAACGCGCGCGAGGAGGCGCCCGCGGAGGAGTACGCCTTCTTTGTTGACAGCCTTATGGGCACCATACGGTGAGAGACGTCGTGCATACATGAAAAAAAACTGGTCATAACCCTGAAGTCCGTGTTTGGTAGAAATGAGATCGCGAGCTGCGAGGAGGCGGCGTACGACAGTCTGCCGCTGAAAGACGCCGCGACGCTGCTCTTCTTCCCCACCCAATCGGAGCTGCAGAACTTCGCCAGAGAGGTCCGTCCGTAACTGCACGTATTAGCATATTTATACTCACTCTTGCGTACTAGCGCGGGTGGCAAATCAACCTGGTGGATGAGACGATCACATTCGCCCGCAAAGGCGAGGAAAAAGTCGAGTTGCCGAAGGAGAAGCTGATCGCGCAGTCTTTGGCGTACGCGCGCGAGCTCGAGCAGATTGTATGATCAGGGCGTCTGTAATTTTGTCTCTTTATTTTCCCCCTGCCGTTCATAGGCGAACATATCGATTGCATGTGCATCGCACAACAAGACGTAGAGGTATACAGATGGTGTGAGGGACAGATACGAGGTCATCAAAACATGCAACGAACACAAGGAAATGCGGAGCAAGGGTAGTGTGAGGGTAAGGTAGCGCAAGACATGAAAAGCGGAAGACGGTGATAGGATGGAGGGTAGCGCAGGGTAGGAATGTCAGGGGCGTAGGATGGGGCAGGTATCGCAATAAAGCACAACAACACATGAAAGCACAGAAACAACAGCAAGCGACCGAAATATCACGCCGGCCCATTCAATCGGCCAGCTCGAGCTCGCGCCTGATCCGCTCGCGGACCTCGCGCAACCCGCCCTGAACGGGTCGCACGCTCTTCGGGCTGCGTGCGAGCAGCTTCTCCCCGCTCTCCTCGCGCGCGCGCCGCCCCGGACTCGGCGGCGGCGCCCCAGGGCTCGCAAGCGCCGGAAGCTCGTCCCGGTCCCTGGCAGCCGCCCTCTTCTTCCGAGGGGTGCTGATCGCGGGCGCCATAGACGATGGCTGGGTGGGCGCCGGCATCTCGAGCCACTCCTCGCCGTCGACGTCGACGCGTCGTAGGAAAAACGGGCACAGGCCGACGAGGAGCGCGAGGCTCTCGCGCGCCTCCGCGCCGGAGATCGGCATCGGGCTACTCTTCACCACCGCGGCCGCGACCTCGTCCGCCGGGAGCGTCCTTCGCTTCCTCACCAGGCCGCCGCCACCCGATCCGGCCCCGGCGCCGAGCGGATCGGAGAAGAGCATCCACACGCTCTCCGCGACGCCTGCGAGGCGGCCGAGCAGCACGCGCCGTCGGAGCTCCTCCTGCGCGAGCCGCTGCATCCCTTCGCGCGGCGTGCTAGTGCCGTCTAGAGCGGCCGCTGCTCTCGATCTGGAGGAGGGCGTCTTGGATGGCGTGGAGGTGAGCGACTTTTGGCGGACGCGGTCGTAGAGCGCCTGCCTCCGTGCGGTGGACGGCGTCGCGAGTTCACCGCCGGTCTGGTGGCGAGGTGTCGAAGGGAAGGCGACCGGGGTGGACAGAACAGAGGAGGAAGAGGAGGGCGTGGACAACTCGGACGAGCGTGAGGGCGAGAGTGAAGGCGTCCGCGGGGTAAGCAGCGTACGGGCGGCATCGAATCGGTTGTGCCGGTGCGAGGGCGTCTTGGGGAAGAGCGCAAGCGGAAGCGGCAGCGCGTCCGATGTTGCGCCGCCCTTCACCGGCGAGCCAGCCGAAGTCGAAGTCGAAGGGGTATCTGATGACGCAACTGACTTGCCAGAGGTCGAAGGCGTGAGCGGGAACGGGACCGCGAACGGCTTGGCCGGCGTCTTGAGCGTGCCTGCCTTTTTGGGGGAGCGCGAGGGAGAGGACGGGGTCGAAAGGGTGGGCACTTTCGACCCGCGCGGGGATGCTGCCTTGGGGGAGGCAGAAGCAAGGAGCTGCGTCAGCGCGGAAGGCTTCGCGACGTTGGGGAGCGCGGGCAGGTCGGCCATAGGTAACGGCGGCACGGTGCCGTCACCATGCAACTATACAAGACGTCAATCACTGCGCGGAGTGTTGTGGAATGGTGATTGAAAAGCTCACCTCGACCCAGCGCTCGAGCTTGGCCTTGACTTCGTTCCGGCGCGTCTCGCCGGCGGCGGTCCAACGCGCGACGGCAGCCATGCCGCCGGTCATGTCCTTGTCCATGTCCATCTCAACCTCGATGCCGACGCCGTACGCGGGCACGCGTTTAGCTGCACTCTTCTGGTGGTGCGTCGCGGGAGTGATTATAAAGCCCATCGCGCCGCGTTGCCAGTCCCGCGGAGGCGGCGGCTTGTCGCTGGTGCTATCCAGGAACGGGTTCTCGTCCTCTTCCGGAGTCGGCGTGCTTGGACGCGGGAGACCTTGGGCATCCCATTCCCAGAGCCAGCATAGTCGACGGAGGTCTGCTACGTCGAAACGGCTGGTGAGGCCAGAGTAGGTGGCGAGCGAAAGGTGGTTGAGGACGTTGGGGACGAGGCCGGCGTCGGAGGTGGGCGAAACGGCGCAGGTGGCGAGCGCGTGAGATATCGCGTGCTGAAGCGCGGTGTGGATGTTGTACAGGCGCGAGAGATGGGGTGGGAGGGTTATGGACTGGGCTGGGGATGGTTTGTGTTTCTTGTTCGCGAGAGATCTAGGGGCAGAGAAAATGTGAGACGGAGGATGTTGGAATAACATGGTGACGAACTGTGTGCGGAGTTTCTTGGGGGATGTTGTGTCGTCGTCGTCCGAGTCCACGAGCGTGCGCTTCTTCTTGGGCGAAACGCGGAGCGCCGTGTACAGGTCCGACATCGCGACTCGTCCGGAGGTGTCGCAGAGGGCAGAGGGAGCGCGAGGCGTCACGCGTGTCACCGCGGTGCGTCACAGGCGACGCCACAGCCACGCGTGATCACGACAGTGCCCCGATTCACGGGTGCCACGTGCCGCACCCGGCTTCTCCCAATGAGAGGCGGGCTATTGATTGGCGCAACAGGTTCGTTCGGAGGCCGCAGAAGGGCGCGCGGACGGCGAAGAGCGGGTGATGTGTTGCGATATGTCAGGAAGCTGCGAAATAGGCGCAGACACACGACGGGGGTGGCGATGGAGTCGCGGGCGCCGTTCGCCCTGAGGTCCCAGATCAGATTGAGCTGCAGCCCGGCCTCCGTCTGTCCCTGCCCATCATTAAAAGCCCGGGGCGTCCACCGTCCGTGCCCCCTGCCCGCAGCCCCAGCATGGCCCTCGCTATCAAGCTCATCGTCCCACACCCCGTCGGCGCAACACCGACCACCCGCCGCCTCACCTTCCCCGACCAGCCCGACTGGGCCGAACTCGCCGCCCGCATCGCCGCCCTCTGCGGCACCGCGCTCGACAACGTCGCCGTCTCCTACACCGACCCCGACGGCGACGTCGTCACCCTCAGCACCCCCGACGAGCTCAACGACTTCTTCGCCTCCCACCCCGCAGGCCAACCCATCCGTTTCACGGCCCAGGACCTCTCCCGCCGCGCGGTGCACGTCCCGCCCCCGCCCTCGTCGATTGCCCCCTCGTCCTCCTCCATCTCGATCGACGAGTCCATCACTCTTCCAGACGACGAAGATGCTGCCCGCCGGCGCGAAGACGGCCCCTCATCCCGCGGCCGCACGCACCAGCGCTCCCGCACGCCTGCGGACCCCTACGCAGACCTCGACATCGATTCGCAGCTCGATTCGCTCCTCGCCGGCGCAGAAGTCTATCGCGACCCAGGCGGATACGAAGGATTCCGCGGCCGCGGACGCTGCGGAGGCAGGGGACGCTTCCGTCACTACGGTCTGCACGGCTGGGGCCCACCCGGCCCTCCTGGTCCCTGGGGCCCGCCGCCTCCCCCGCCTCCCCACCACTGGGGAGGTCCCTGGGGCCCGCCTCACCACCACGGCCCTCCGTGGAAGCACCACCACTTCCACCCTTACGGCGGCGGCGGCCCACCCCACTGGCGTCACTACGGCTACGGCGGCCCGCCCTTCTGGCCGCCCCCGCCCCCGCCTCCTCCTCCTCCCTCCGGCGAAGGCTGGGACGAGCGCCGCCGCACGCGCTCGCGTTCGCGCACCCCCGAGCGCACGCCAGGAGGAAGCCAGCCCGACAGGTCCCCGCAGCCGCCGCGCTCCCCCAGACCTGCTCCCTCGCCCTCGCCGGGAGATCCTACCCCTCCCCGCCCGCGCTCGCCCCCGACTCACTCCCCGCACCCAGGACCGTCGCCTCGCAGCCCCCATCACCGCGATCGTCGGCCTCCTCATCCGCTGCCGCCCCCGGCACACTACCCACCCCCTGCGCATCCGCACTTCCCCTACCCGCCGCCGCCGCCCCACTGGGGCCGCCACCACGGGCCTCCTCATCACCACCACCCGTGGGGCCCACCCGGCCCGCCGCCCTACTAGATCGGACGATGATTGATACGCTGTAGCGCTACCACGATATATATATATTCTTCACTATACCACGTCTGTTGTTTACGAATATTATGCCTTCCTCTTCCCAATATGCTATGCTACGCCTGAACACTGAGATTGAGGCTGAGTATACCTCGCGACCTCCCACTGGCTCGGCGGGGGATTGTCATCGAACCCGCCGCCTTCCCACATCCTGACCCGCCAAAGCGCGATCAAGAACGGCACCGCGTCCGCACGGAGCAGCGTGTCCGCGTCCGAGCATATCAGAAACGCATGGCTCATCTTCGCGCCCCCCTTTGCGCGTTCCTTCTTCTCCTTCGGCGTCGTGTCCTTCTCCGTCGCGTCCTCCTGCGCCGCAGCGCTCTCGACCTTCCTCCGCCGACCCTCCTCCTTAAAGCGCGCCCGCCGCTCGACCTTCAACACCTCGCTCAACGCCTGATGCAGCGCCGCACGCTGCTCCCGATCCGGAAACATCGCCACGCCGTTATACAGCGGCACGCCCGCCCTCGAGAGCGTCATCCCCCCGTCGCCGCCGTCCCCCACCACCTGATACATCACGCTCGGCGGCAACGCCTTCCTGCCCGTGATCTCCTCCGTCTCGAGCGGCAGCAGCGCCATCCCCGCCTCCGGCCGCGGCCGCTTCCCCGTGTTCTTGTCCCGGTTCACGGGCGGGACGACGAGCACCGCCGCGGCGCCCTCCCACGGCACGGACCCCGCGATCGCCAGCTCGTCGAACTCGGCGCGCGTCAGGCGACGGATGAGCGGGTGGTCCAGCGCCCCACGCGGGCGAAGGGACAGCGAGGCGGCGAGGAGGCGCAGCTCTTGTAACGCGCGGAGGCGGAGGAGGTGCCCGATCTGGCGCCCCAGGAGCGCGTGGTGCGAGAGGTTGGGCGCGTACCGGCGGTAGTGGGCTAATCACGGCGAATGTGAGCCTTGAGAGGGGTGAGGGAGCGCGGCGAGGACGGAAACATACCGCGCTCGCCGAGCGCATCGACCGCGGACGCGCGGCAGACGACGTAGCGCCCCTTGCCGACGCGTTTGTTCGTGTATCTGGGATGCTGCAGTCCGTCGGGAACGAGCAACGTCGCCTCTCGCGCGCCGCGCGGTGTCGGGAGTCTCACGGCCGCGAGGCGAACGAGGAAATCTGCAGGCACGGGTCAGGATGAGCGTCAGCGATGGGAATGACGAGGGACGGACCGTTCGGTAAAGAACGATCGCTCATCATGCAGCAGCGAACGGGGCTCGCGAGCATGCGGACTAAACGAATCTCTCAGCACATGCCGACACAGAATGAGAGATGCCGTTGCTGACGATACGGATTCGACCACCATTCGCGCTCGAGCGCGCTCATCCGGTGCGGCGCCACACGTCGGGTGCGCCCGTCTGCGCCGACGATCTCGCGCTTCTGGTTCGCGTGCACGCGCACGGCGGGTGGAGGGCGTTTCTGCCGCACATAGAGCTTGGAGTTCGAGATCGGGTCCGCATCGTCAAGCAGGAGGGAGTGCGCGCGGCCGGCGGGTGAGAAGGACGGCGCAGGCAAGGGCGATGTTGAGGGGTAGCGCCAGCGCCGCTTGGGGTTCCGTCCGAAGGACGGGTCGACGCCGCCGTTGTCGCGCGCAGCGAAGGGCGTTTTTGCAAGACGGTCGAGGAGGCGGGGGAGCACGCGCGGCATGGCCGTCACGGTCCCGAACGGGGGTGGTGTCGGCTGGCCGTCACGCGTTCGCGAGCGCGTGACCCCATCCTAGGGTTGGCCGCGGCCTGTGAGAGGGCCGGGATATGTCAGGTTGGATGTGAGCGTATGTCGGAATTGCGTTCTCGTCCTCCTTTACGGCAGGCGACGCCTCGATCTTCCTCTGGCCGTGCCTATCTCGGAGCGAATGCGCGCGAAGGACGATGGCGCGAGGTCACCCGCCCAGCCGTTAGCGTGCCGCGCCGCTGTGCTCTGAAGATAACCTGATAAGTATGCCGGCCAGCGCGAGCAAGGGCGTCTTCGCTCGGCCCCTGCGCATCCTCCAGCATCTCTCGTCCTCTTCCTCCACCTCCACCATGCCAGCCCCGCTCGTCGACCCCGTCACCATCGCCGTCGTCGGTTGCGGCTCGCGCGGCAACGTAAGTACCACCCCCACCCCAAACCCGACCTCCCCCTTCTCGCGACCCGCAACCTCACACGTTCGGCATTTAGGCATACGCGCAGTACGCGCTCGATAACCCGGCGAAATGCCAGGTCGTTGCCATCGCCGAGCCGCGGCCCAAGACGCGTCGGCTCATGGCTGATACTCACCGCGTCGACCCCACCCTCACCTTCACCACCTGGCAAGACCTCCATGCTGCGTCCGCAGAGACACTCAGAACGATCGGCAAGCGTCTCGCCGACGCCGTGCTTATCACCGTCCAGGACCACATGCACGCCGAGCTCGTCGAGGTCTTTGCCGAGCAAGGATACCACATCCTCTGCGAGAAGCCGATGGCGACGAGCATCTCGGACTGTATTAAGATAGAGGCCGCTGTGAAGAAGGCGGGCATCATCTTTGGCATGGGACATGGTCAGCTATACTCCCGTACGGCTATATTCCAACCATATTGATGCCAACGTCCCCCAGTCCTCCGCTACTCGCCTTACAGCAAGGCGATCACGGAGATCATCCGTTCAGGTCAACTCGGCACGCTCGTGAACGCCGTTCACGTCGAGCCGGTCGGCCATTGGCACTTCGCACACTCGTACGTCCGCGGCAGCTGGGCGCGCGAGGACCAGTCCTCCTTCTCGCTCATGACCAAATCCTGCCACGACATCGACATCCTCTGCCACTGGTTCGCGGACGACAAGCCCGCCCGCGTCTCGTCCTTCGGCTCCCTATTCCACTTCCGCAAGTCCGCCAAGCCCGCCGAGGCCGGCGACGCGACGCGCTGCCTCAACTGTGCATACGAGAGCCAGTGCCCGTACAGCGCCAAAAAGGGTGCGTGCTGCAACGCGAATTCGAGCCGTCGCTCGTAGAGTTGACACTTTCACCAGTATACATAGACTCCGTCGCGCGCGGCAACACGGGCTGGCCCGCGTCCGTCACCGTCGACGGCATCCCCGACATCGAGAACGTGACGGAGGCGATCCGCAACGGACCCTACGGCCGGTGCGCGTACGAGTGCGACAACGACGTGTGCGACAACCAGGTCGTCAACATCGAGTTCGGCTCGGGCGCGACCGCGTCCTTCACGATGGTCGCCCAGACGTCGCTCATCTGCGAGCGCCAGACGAGGCTCCACTTCACGCACGGCGAGATCGTCGGCGACATGACGTCCTTCACCGTGTCCGACTTCCGCACGCGCCAGACGACGCAGCACCGGCCCCGCGCCGAGGGCGGTCACCATGGCGGCGGCGACACGGGCCTCATCCGCGCGTTCGTCGAGGCCGTCCGCACTGGCAGCCAGCACGAGCTCGGCACTCACGTCGGCGAAGTGCTCAACAGCCATCTCACCGTCTTCGCGGCGGAGGCGAGCAGGCGGGAGGGCCGAGTTGTGAACTGCCAGGAATTCGAAGCGAAGGCGAGGGAGAGCGTGCAGGCGTAATCCCTTTTCTTTTGGGTTTTGGTGTATCTATGTAGTTTTTGATTGGCCCATGTACTCAAAGCTCGGAATGGCATCGATCCTATGAGACGCAATGCATCCACACATTATATTACAGATGCTCTCCTACTCGAGATCCCCCTCCAAGGCCTCCTTCGCCTTTCGCTCGGCCTCCTCTTGGAGGTCTTGCGGCACGGGCGCGAAGACGCCGCCGGTTTCGTCGCCGATCCATGAGATCTCGAGCTCGAAATCCTTCCCTTGAGCATCATCGTGCACGAGGTGGATGCTGCGAATAATTAGCGCCGAGTTCACCTGCATAACAAGAAGGAAATGGCCTCACATCCTCGCCGCCTCGATGACCGCCTCCCGGGTGGATAACTCAGCGAGCTTGAGCTTCTCGAGCTCCGTCTTGGCGAGCTGGCGCCCTTTTCCCACGGCCGCGCCGTGGTAGCCCTATTCATGGACTGATCAGAGGACCGGCGTGGCGAGGACACGTGCGAGAACATACGTAGAAGACACCGCTGGGTTCTACAACGTAGAGTGCAGGCCCATCTTTGTCGATGGCAGCCAAGAGTGTGCTGATGCCGAAGGGCCGGACGGACGAGTATAGCGTATACGCCTGCACATAGAGGCCTAAGCGGCCGGCGAGAGCCTATATATGTGTTATGGGTAGGGAAGAGAGCAAGCATGAGTGACGCGGCTGTACCTTCAGAGTAGTGGGTGCCCGGTAGGTCGATCGGTAGTTGGAAGCCTCCTCGCGCGCGCGGTTAGCGATGTGCCTGCCATCTGCGAGGAGACCTGACGTTGCCTATGAATGAACCTAAGGTCAATCATCGTCCCAACCGTATGAAATGGATTCTGACCAAGCCGATGTGCTTGTCGATGGTTTGTATCCGCCTGTTGGACGCAGGTACGAGCAGCTTTGAATGCGCGAGTTTCTCGACGGCGAGCACTACACCATCCTTCACTCGTAGCCCGATCGCGGTTCTATAAGTAAGCGTTATGAGGGAAGTACACGTTCAGTACCACCAAATTACCCACCCGGAGTTCTCAACGGCTTTGTTAGCGTATTCAACCTACAAGACCATGTCAAGGAATGAGATCATCGCGGCTTCCAACATGGTGAGATGGTGTAGACCTGGAAGATGCGGCCATCAGGCGAGTATGTGCTGGCAGAGAGATCGTAGCCCGTCCCAATAGAAGTCATGTCGCAAGACTACAGCACTGCAGAGATCCCAGGTGTGGGTATGAACGGACGAGCGAAGGATGAGCGAGTGCAGGGACGCGTACGCGTGCTCCCGGACTTGGACGCGCCAGCCTCATCTCGAGCTCAGCCACCACCGTGCCGGCGTCTCTTCCACAAGTTCGGTTGAACTACCGCAGGCAAACTCTGCCGGAGAATGTCTACGGCCCACGAATGGAGCTCGTCTCTGCACAATCACCCGATCTTCACGCCGTCTAAGCGCGCTTCAGCTTCTGGAACTCGCGACCAGGAACCTCTGGAGCTCTCCACGCGCACCCTGACCAGCTTCACCGGAGCAAGCGACGATGACGATGAGTCTACGCCCATTGGAAGGAGACAAGTCATGCTTATCCGCGACAACGACCTGATTGTCGCGTCCGGGAGCGAGCTCCGCATTACTTCGCTCGGAGACTTGAAACTTGAGCAAGGCACGAGCAAAGGTTACAAGGTGCGCGCAGCCCAGCGTCCGGCTCTGGCTACCTCGTCTCACTGATGTGCAAGACGTTACACGCGCCAAACATCGAGTTTGAAATCCAACAGCTATCGCTGAACCCCAATGGCAAATTGCTGGCCGTAGCCGGTGCCCGTCAGGTCGCCGTGGTCGTACTGCCGAGAGCGGGGTATGGCAGGCTCGTGCCTACCGCTCTGGACTGCAAGTAAGCGACACGCGCTTGGTATCTTGGGATGTGCTAACTGACGCAGCTTGGCAGGTCCATACAAATTGGGACGTTCTACCATGCTACAAGAGGAGCCCCACCGATCGCCAAGGTTGACTGGCATCCATGGGGAGAAGCAGGTTCGGTCCTGATGGTGATGACGACTGACGGGAAACTTCGGTATGTCTCTGAACGCTGTCCGATCCCTTGGCATTGCTAACACGAACACAGGGAGTACGATATCTCCCTCGATCCCGAGGAACCGCAACAGGTACTGTCCTTCGTTCCTGAGAAGATAGGTGGACGATATCTTGCGCAAGATCCCTCCGAGCGCGAAGTCGCGTCCTTTACTCTCGGCAGAGGTAGAGCAGACTGGGGACCCCTGACGGTGTATGCTTTGATGAAGAGCGGAGACGTCTACGCCATCTGTCCCTATATGCCTAAAAACGCGTAAGCCGTGCCTTTGTGGCACGTTTTGGTCGTGCTCATCGCTTTCTAGCTCTGTCCCGTCGTCGTACGTGCACGCTCTAGAATGCTTTGTTGCCGCCAAGCAAGAGTTCTTGAACGAAGCACAGGACCTCGCCGCATCGACGGCAGAGCGACAACGGGAACGGTTCTCTACCGTTTACGACTATCAGTCAAAATACGTGTCATCGCTGTTGAAGCAGCTACCGCCTGGGACGGCTTTCCCTGCACCGTCCAGATCCGTTCTCATGCACCCTCCTTCCTCCTTGAAAAATCCTCCACTCCGACAAGGACCGTTTCTTCTGCAACCTGCGCCTCGAACGCTCGACGGTAGCGAAGGTGGAGATGCGACCGACATATTGTATGCGTCTTTCGGGGATTTGGATGACGACGAGGCCACCACGGGTGACACCGATCAGATTGGCGTCGTCTTGATTGCCTATCAAGACGGCAAGGTGGATGTGTGTTTAGACGTTGAAAAGGTGGAAGCGAAGTGGCAGAACAAACAGGTACAATACCGTCTGCAATACTCAACCCTACATTTTCGCTCATTACCAATCTGCAGTCCAAGCGGCCTGAACTGCCTATGCTCGCTGTTTACGAATCTATAGACCTCGGGACGGTGAAAACGCTTTCGGCGACGGAGCCCTCAGCCTTGGATCTGGTTTCAGGCAATCACCCTGTCCTATACCCCGATCCGATGCACGAGGACACTATTTACGTTTACCACGCATTTGGCGTACACTCACTAGATCTCGGACCTGTCTTGACCAGTTTGGAAGCCGCTGTTCGGGACGACGGATCCGACACGGGGAACGCTTTGGAGTGCTCGCGGGGCACTGACGTTCGGCCCGTTGTGAGCACCTTCTCAGTGGAGCGCAAGTCGTCGAACCCGGTGACGGCGGTGGCTATCCCGAACGACGTCTACATGACATACAGCATCTTCGTCCTAACTTCAGCTGGACGAGTAGTATCGTTCCCGCTCACCGTGCGGTCGGATCACCCGACTCCTTCGTCAGCCACGGAAACGACAGCTCAAGACACGAATATCGACGATCCATTACCCGAACCCAATGGTCCGCCCGCTTATGTCTCGCTGTTGAGCAAGGAGCCCTTCTCCGAGCCGCCTATACTATCACGGTCCGTATCTGGCCTTCCCTCCAACCCCCGACTGGCCTTGCCCAAGGGGAGTCAAGACGAGTTCGTCCTCACGCCCGACACCCTGCGGTTCCTTGGCAGCACCGTGGAACAATTCCGGAGCCAGATCCGCGATGTACAGCTCGCGCACCAGGCAGCTGAAGGCCGCGTCGGACTGCAACAGCAGGAGTTCGCGCGGCAGCAGGCAACGTGCGGGACGATGCTGGAGCTCGTAGAACAGCTCAAGGGCCCTCGGCAGTTGGCCGCGAGGGAGAAGCTGGCGAGGCTTCAGGACTCACAGCTGGGTCTGATTTCGCGCTCGGACCGCGTGCTGCAGGCGATGATGCAGAAGGTCTCTCCAGAACTGAGCGAGCACGAGATGAAGTGGTTTAAGGAGCTCAGTCGGATGAAGGAGGAGGTGAAAGGCGCCGGGCGCTTCGACCAAAGCTCTTTGGCCGCCCGCATAAAACTCGTGAGTGTAACAAGGGCCTAAACTTCAGAGCTGCTCTAATCCTCTTTTCCTCTAGCTCGAGCGGGAATTTACACGCCTAGGTCCGAGCTTGAAGGAGATGCACCAAAAGGAGGTGGAACGAAAGAAGCTAAGCCGTGCCGACGAGCTGGGAACCACCCAGGCTTTCGAGCTGGGAGAGCGATCGAACGCCGAGTGAGTGTTGTCATGCCGCTGTTGTGAGATTGTTCACTGACCACCCTTCAGCCGTACAAGGATAGAGTCATTACAACGTCAAATCACTGACTTGGCGTCACGGTTGGATGTCAGCCTTCAACGACCGCAACCGTTATGTTGACGCACTTCGTAACTCTTTCCTCACATGTTGACTGCGCAATAAATTACTTGTCGCAAATGGCGTTCGAACTTCGAACTTCGAACTTCGATGGAAAGGACCATGCGGTCTAGTGGAACGATGTATAGTATGTAGTAGTCTTCTGCCGAACTTCCGCGGTCAATATGGCAGCAGCGACCGTATTGCAAAGATTCAACGTGACCGTCCTTATATACACAACTCAGTAGCATCCAAGCCCGTCATGATCCGCTCGCCTCCCCTTCCAGATCCGAAGGCGGGACAAAAGGCTGCGGACACCCGTTCGCCACTTCCACGCCAGCGCAAAGGTGTACAGGCTGAGTATCGCCAGAACGAGAATAAGCAGCGCCGCGCCGAGCACCACCCAGGTGCTGATCCAGTCCACTCTCGTCTCTGTGAACACCGCTTGCGTGGTATAGGTAGTGATAGCTATTGCGAAGGCCACAATTGCCCAAGCCAGCAAGACCAGCGGTAGGCTGAGCAAAATGGCATGGCCGTGCAAGCCGAGCGGATTATGTTCAGCGTTGTAGATATAAGAATAAGAGCTGGACGGCCCCGTGTTGGAGCGATGCCGCCAGACGCTGATGTCTACAGTAAGACAATAGCCGTACGTCAACCAGAGAATAACCACGTACCAGAATGAACCAACTATCATGCTGCCAAGGCTAGCGAATACGCTGATGATAGCGGCAGACCTGCTGGCCCTTCCTATCTCTGGCAATGCCAGAAATGATATCGTAGCTCTGTGCCGATGCCCATGAGTACTTTCTTGAAATGGGCATGTCGAAACAAGCTCACGAAAGGAGGACAGTGGCCTATTCATTGTTATGTAGCGCCAGATGTTCCGGTTCAAAAAAAAAAACTCACAATTAGGATGAAATCCGAGTATTCCCGAACGAGCTGCTCGATGAACAGTGCCCAGCTTCGCTAGAAGAGGTATCAGTGACAACATCATTGACCTTTCGCAAAAAAAACGCACATGTAGATTGTTCAAGCGGCCCCGATACTCGCGAGTGCTATTCAGCCGAGCCAGGTACGCCCAAGGAACACCAAAGCACAGCCCGTTCATGAGGAGTCCAAGTAGAACCCCTTTCGCAGAACACCCAGCGCTGAGGCCACTCGAAGTGCCTTCCCCGGCTGCTCGTCTGGGTGCCGTGAGGGTTCTGAAGTCGACACGGGTTTTCAAGCCGTAGTCAATAGCCACTCGAAACGCGTCTGTGCAGAGCAATCACTAATCGGGAGGATACTTGCTGCGAAAGAACGCGACTTACTGACTTCCCGGAGGATCCATGATAGGAATACGGTACGCGCCGGAGAGTCGTTAGTCCGAATGCCTGCGGAAAGGACATTGTGTGAATGGTGAAGCGCCAGGACGTCAAGAACGTATACCAACCATCAGGATCTCGTAGTAATCGCAGCAGATCCTCGCATTCGGCTTTGGAGAATGGTACATTACTATATGGTGCCGATACAATATTGTCTAACCTTGGTTGTTACCAAAGCGCATATGAGACGGGGTCAGACACCCACCGACGCAGTACCATGTCAAGGCATCCAGGGCATCCGCTTGCGCCCTTGTTGGAGTCTTCACATGGGAAGGGTGCCTGTTCAAATAAGTCCCTACATGGCAGCGTCATTGGCCAACGCAAGAAATGCATCATCGCATGTGAAGTGCCTACAGTACAACCGTTGTTGCCGCGTACCTATAGCCGAAGTGGTGAGCTGAGCATGAATTCCTGCTACGTCGCACGTACGCATGTAGATGTCTGGTTGCGTTCGACCATCAACCTCGGACGAATCATATGATGCGATGCACTCCTGGTGGTTGATATACGTGCAGAAGAGAGATTCAGAGTTTCCAGTCGCCATGTATCTGTTCAAACAGTATAGAATGGTCAATAACCGATCCTGCATAGGAAGGTAGTTGCTTACATCTCTAGGGAGCCCAACTCCTCCGACGCTGCCAAGCCCAAACAGCCTGAACGCACTCTTTCGTAGACATCTGGTATACGTAAATCTTCTTCCGTTACAACACCAAGGTTCGGGTTGTGAAAGTAAATCCATCCTTCAGGATGAGCGTGCACAACCCAGCCTTCTGGAACGACGTTGGGCGCCTTCAGGAACGCTGTAGATACGGCAGTGGAAAAGCTTGTGTCCATGCGACTGGTACAGTTGGGCTGAGTCGTTGGCATTGTGTTGGATGGAGTATGATCGGCGCCGCAGGGCGCTGTTGGTAGGGATATCTGTGAGGGAGCGCGTGAAGATCATTGCGATGGCGAGAAGACAAAGACGCGTTGCTAAATTTGGTAATACGCGCCCCTCCTTTGCGCGTCGCCAACCTCGGACTGCGATGAGCTTCTTCAACAACGCTGCGAACAACACTGGCAATGCGCCCGGCGCTACACAAGGCGGTGGCCTCTTTGGAAATGCAGCCGGAAGTACCACGGGCAATGCAGGCGGTTCCAACATATTCGGTGGTGGCAGCGCGTTCGGAGGCAAGTCACGTCTTCACGGCTTATGACGCCAGCCTGACACCAACCCTCCAGCCAAACCTGCGGGTGGAGGGGGTATCTTTGCTGGGGGTACAACTACGGGAGCAGGCGGGGGAGGGTTGTTCGGCGGAGGTAACGCGCCAGGACCTTCGAACAACGCGGGCGGTGGCTTGTTCGGGGGAGGCGGCGCGGCTGCAGCGACACCTGCGGCACCTGCAGGCGGTCTCTTTGGCGGCGGAAATGCTGCGAACCCAGCGGGAGGTTTCTTCTCGAACGCAGGGGCTGCCGCCACACCAACCACGGGGGGCGGTCTCTTTGGCGGAGGCAACAATAACGCGGCTCCTGCAGCCCCAGCACAGGCCGGAACGGGTCTGTTTGGGAACTCCTCCTCGACTACAACAGGAGCGGCCGCCCCTGCTGCCGGAGGACTATTTGGGAACGCTTCTTCGAACACGACTGGAGCAGCCGCTCCTGCTGCTGGAGGACTGTTTGGGAAGCCGGCTACACCAACAACAGAAGCACCGAAACTGAACCGTGAGTTCCGGGTGCTTCGCACAAGCTCGTTCTTTGACGCGTCTTGCAGTATTTGGGCAACCAAGTACCGCCGCTTCTGGTAACGAAAACACGCTCCGTCTTCTAGATACCGTGCTCATCCTTCCTTATGCTCAGGTTCGACAACGACAACGAACGCCGCACCCACCGGCGGCTTGTTCGGCGCCCCGAAACTAGCGGAGACGCCAGCGCCTGCTGTTGGGGCGGCTGCGGGGACAGCAGGCGCAACACCCGCGGCAGGTGGAGGTCTTTTCAGCGGCGGCTTGTTCGGCAAGAAACCAGACGCGCCTGCAAGCACGACAACGCCGGCAGCAGGCGGAAGCACAACATCTCCATTCGCTGGCTTTAGCTTAGGCGGCAACAAAGACGCCAGTGCTTCAAAAGATGCTGCGCCCGCAGGTAAGCGAGGAGAACATTAAATCTTGAGCGACGGGTTCACACACTTTGCAGCTCCTACTCTCGGCGGTGGATTATTCGGCAGCGCTGCTGCGAACAAGGACGCTACAACAGAGAAGAAGGACGGAGCTCCCGGTATGTGCACGTTCTCGCGTTGCCACTTATTTCATGGTTTATGAAGTTGTCTCCAGCTGCGCCCGCGTTCAACCTTTTCGGCGCCGCAAAACCTGCAGACGCCGACAAGAAAGATGCCACTACCTCAGCAGCTGGTGCAAAGGAAGGTGAGAAGAAAGACGCTGCAGGTGCGTTTTTACAATTGCGCTACAGCTAGGTTTTTGTGCTTAACAAAGTCTTCAGCACCGGCAGCACCAGGTGCTTCGGCCCCGGCCAGCAACGCTCCCCCATCTGTGTCTGTCCAGCCACCTTCAATACTGCGGGGGAAAACTATCGAAGAAATCGTCAACCGATGGTCGACCGAACTGGAGGCCCACGTTCGCGATTTCCACACTTTCGCCAGCGAGGTGGCGGTCTGGGACAAGTCGCTGATCGAGAACAGCAACAACGTGAGTTCGAGTGCCTGCCATCGCTGTACAACCTGGACCTCAATGGCTATCAGCTGGCCGCACTGTACGGCATGGTGCTTGCGGCTGAAAGAGAACAAAACGAGATCGACCAAGCGCTTGACCATATAGAGCAACAGCAGAACGATCTCTCAGCAACGTTGGAGCATTACGAGAAATCTGCGCAAGAGATACTCGGCGGCCACGGTGGCAGCCTCCGGGCACTAGACACTGGGCCCGCTGACACCGAACGCGATAAGAAGTCCGTTTTTGGATACCTTCCAAAGATAGCGTCCAATGACTGACGACTGTTCGTGGTATAGCTACGTGCTCGCGACAGAGCTCCATACGCACATGGAGGACCTCTCCGAGACTCTGACGAACATGATCGACACGGTCAACAGCTTGACTAGCCCGTCATCTGACAGCAAGGAAGCTCAGAACGGAGCGAGCGACGACCCCATGGCCCAGATCGTGCAAATACTAAGCAGCCATCTAGAAAGCTTGCAGTGGATAGACGGCGCGGTCAAGGAGATGGAGGGCAAAGTCACCGACGTGGAGAAACGGCTGAAGGAGGCTGGAGGGCCTGGTGTAGGATCTGGGGGTCGCAGGGGATACGGGCTCAACCGATAATTGGATTCGGAGTCCATGTTGTGCTCGGTGTCAGTGTGCGATGTCTTGTGTCTGTATCAAGTTGGAGGCTGTATGATGCGATTTAAGTAAGTTAGCTCCATAGCGGCGAACACGCATGTCACGGCATGTGGCGATGCCCCCCGCATGCTTGGCCAGGTCGTGCACAGGTGTTTTGAGGCCGTTTGCTGATCACCACACGGCGACCGTTCCTGTACTCGGCAGCAGCGATCCCTTGAATGCAATCATCCTCGTTTTAATGGTTGTTGTCAGCGTCATGGGTCCTGAAGATTAACTCGTAGGAAGGACGAGCTATTGTGTGTAGGCTTGTCACGCCTTGCACTCGGCGTCCGATGTCCAGGTACCGGCCCTTCTAGGCTCGTAAACCGCCTCTATCTTTTCCAAGAAGATAATCGTTCTTGAAGATAGAGGCTGGTACAGCATATGGGGGCCGCCGCGGGAGGTGGTCCGTGGGAATCAGCTGAGTTCGAATTGCGTGTCGGCGCTCCTCTCTGGAGTCGCTCCTTCTCCTCGCCTCCCGCACAGTTTGGCACCCGCCGCGCCTTGCACTCTAATATTCATCTAATCCTAACATACTCGCATGCTATAACTACTACGAATCCGGCGGAACTTGATATCTATGTGAGATCGCCGATATCCTGTCATATCAACCGACAGCGGCACACATACTAAATCTGTGCCCTAGTTTGTCATGTCTGCACACGATGTAGGCATGGATAGCGATGAGGAGCCGCACGATCTTCCTTCTCAGCAACTCCGTGCATCATCTGATTCCAGCACCCAGTTTTGCCCCTATCCTGCACATCTCCAGTTCATAGGCTCTGGGAACACTGTTCCTCGTCCACCTAGGTTTTCATCCGACCTCGGGACATCTCCAGAAACACCAATACATGCGGCTAGACTCACAACTCCCTACCAACCTCTTGGAAACCTGCACCTCACGCCTGGATCTGGTTCATTCACGTATGGCACTCTCGCAGTCGCAAGCCCCCTCTCTACAATCCCATACAACTCCGCAAGGCTGGTTCAGACCATTCCGACAATCACTGCGCCACCTCCTCGTATATCACCTTGGGAAGATGCCGAAGATCGATTCGCCTCAGGCATCTTCAATGACATTAGGGTTCCTGCCGACATGTCGCTCCGCCACGCGCATCTATGGTACCGCCATGTACAAGTTGAAGACAGGATTCTAGTTGTATTACGAGCGATGCAGCGTGCGGGGTTTAATAGCATTGGTGCCTTTCTCAAGGTCTATTTCGAAGATGAGCCGCGCGTGCATCAAACCGTCATCCAGTCAGTCGGTGCCTTCCTGCAGCAGCAGAACCGAGACATATCCGAGCGCCCAATAAATATCATCCGCATGATTTACGACCACCGGCAGTCCCAGATCCATGTCAACAACCGTCCGCAACCGATGGATATGTTTTTTCTTCCGAAATACGCGGTGCCCCCTTCGCGGCAGCTGGAGGCACCGATCACTTATTCCGCCGACGACCTCCGACTCATTTCCACTCGCAACCACATGAAAGCATGGGCCGTGAGCGAAGTACTGGCGATGGTCGATCACGAAGCGGACGATCTGCTGGACCGGCGTCATGGTCTCATGCTCCCCCGTAAAGAGCATCTCACTTGGCGACATCTCCTTGACTTTGATCTCAAGTCAGTTCAGGAGGTGATTGCATTCAATGCACCGGTTCTATACTCAACCCTTGCAACCATGAGTATTGGCCAATCGGCGAGGAAGCGGCTGCATCAGGTGGATGGACGTGCAAATGAGAATTTGGCAAATGTAGATGTAAACGAAGACTCTGCTAGCACCCCGGCTCCGCAATCCCATTCTGCCGCTCAACGTGATCGTGCAGATCGTAGCCCATGGCTGGTATGTTATTTTAGCTGATTTCGCAGCGTAATCTCAGATGTTTGTAGGCCGTCACAGTGTTGATACTCGCTGGCCTCTTCTGTCGTAACCAACGCGCAAATATATTTGCCACCATCATCGGGATTGTACTGTTCTCGTGCAATGCTCACCGTGATATCTATAAGCTGCTTGGGCAAACTGGACTCTCCATTGGCTATAGCACGGTTCTTGCAAAGCTAGAGGATCTTGCGGATGACGCAAAGGCCAAGATTTCGCAATTGGGCGATGCAGTCGAGGCAGGAAGTCAACATTGCCTGATGGTCTTCGATAATGTTAATAAAGCACGGCAAGCATGGCGTCAGGTCCTCGGAAACGAGAACAAATTGCGGAGCGGGACTGCCGCTGTACTTGTGACCATGGTAGATGTCCCACATGGAGCATTGGACATGGCACCCGTGCGCCAGGCAATCGAATCCCGAAAACACAGTGATCTATGCGTCAGCGAGCTCCTCTCCGATATTGATTGGGAACATGTGCGCAGCGTGGCAATCGGAACTGTTCTACGCGTGTGGGCAAAGCATATACCATCCCTGTCCAAATTTAGACCCCAGATCGAAGCACTCTTCTCTGGACCTCTTTGCGTACATGCTCTCCCACTGCGGAAGACCAGCTATCAGACTCTCCGGACCATGGATCTCAATGAAGCGAAAACCACAGGCACAGCTGACGTCCTACGCAATATTATGAACCAGCTTCGTATCACAGCTGCATGGTTATGCATGCAGCTTCTACTAGTCTGTGGCGATCAGCTCAGTATTGACCGTGTTCGCAAAGCAAAGAGATACCTTGCAAAGACTGCAAACCCAGCCGTTGGGTTGCAATGGGCGCTGCCTGTGATACAGTTGTTCCATATGAAATGGGCGCTCCTCAAATGCATATTCAAGTTACACTGGTGGAGAGGTGATATATCAAGCGGCACCTTCGGACTCCAACACGATGCTTCCCTTCTTGGACGTGACAAGTTCAATCCTGATCGCTGTGACTTTTACGATGGGCACCACATTGTCGAAGATATATTTGAGGCCTTATGTCTCGATGTTCTTCGGTAAGTCGTCATTTAATGTCACAGACATGATGGTGTAGATTAATATTACACTGTCATCAGTATACTGTGCAGTGAGACGAGGTCCGGGTGTCGTCAATATCCACCTACAATGCACATTATTCCGCTACTCAACTCATACTTTGCCAAGGACGGAGTGCTGGAGAAGATCACATTCGATGAGCTTTCACAGCTTGCTAAGAAGACATACGAGCGCTACTTGACCACTGCTGCATATGAAGATGCCATCGGTCTCACTGAGCGCAGTAATTCCATGGGCGATGATGAGGTTGTAGACATAGAAATACCCGTGGTGGAGCCCCCAAATACCCGAGTCGAACACACTGGTCGGATCTCTACTGGCCGGCGTACACGCCGTGGAGCCCAACCCACAATTCCAGGCAATGATGCACAGTTTCGAGGTGATCGATGTCTTGCAAATACAGTCCTGTTTATGAGGCTATCATTCTGGTACCTCGAGATCAGTTCTGGAATTGCGGAAGGAGACATTGGACGGGTTCTTGAGATCCTGAAGGTACAGTCTCTTGGAATTTTCATTGGGCTGATGGGATAAGCTTACTTACAAATCGATCACTCAGATCCTGCGGTTCTCATTCTGGGGTGCTGGTGCAACCAATTACGGCAATGAGCTACTGGAGCTGGCATGCAATTTCCTCCGTGAATATCCACCCGACCTTATCACTACTCTAAAGAATAACTGGCTCGTCAATACTGCGGGACTTCCTGGGCACTGGCATGAACTCGATCTTCTCATGGAACATTTGGTATACCTCATCAAGCGGCTCTACAATTCCAAGAATCATGGCTTTGATTCGAAGTTCCTTGCTGAGAAGATTAGTTTGAATATTGCCGGCTTTCGTCAAGTTCGAAGCAATATACGATCATGGTTTGGCCTGAAGAAGAACAGCGGTCGACATGCCGCGGTCTCGGCAGAAGATGACATCAACAAACTTGGTGCTCACTATCGCAAGGAGTCGGTTCTCACCTTCCAAGCCGGAAGGGAACAGGCTTATTCTGTTCCCGACGAATTTGCAGCAGGTATCGAGAAGCTCCTGGGTGGCGGGCTAGATACCTTCCTTCAACGTACAATGCTCGATATAGAGGTGTCTGGCGAAGACAACAAGGACTCAGAGGTCGATGAATTGGAGCTCGAGGAACAGAGCTACACTGCAGAAGGTCTGTATGAACCTCCAAGTGTACTCTCTGTGCATGAAGGGAAGATGTTCCTTGAGCCCTTTGTAGGCGCTGCATGCGGCTCAGCTGATTGATATTGCAAGTATTGCGAAGTCTTTAGTGGTACTAAAGGTAGCGAGTACAATTAACTATAGCGCTGTAGTTACAGTACAATATGTTACTCAATATGCGGGGCAACATTCATCGGTGGTACATTCTCCTTTTGAAGACGGCGTGCACGTTTCGCAGGCCTGCTCGGAACGACCGGTGACGGGGGTCGCACAGGCTTCTGTTCCGGCATGACGAACTTGATGCGTGGATGAGCTGGTGTGTTATGTATCGCAAGAACTTCATTTGAGGCGTCCCCTTCGCTACGCTCCTTGATGACGTCTCCAAAGCCCTCTAACGCAGCTGAAACAAAGCGAAAGAGAGCTGCACCGTGCTCGTCAAGATGATCCCATCCACTGACAACGATGCAGAACCGTTCAAAGGTCGTGCAGAGGTGGACTTTTTCCGCAAGCTGTCGCAGAATATTCGTTGGGAAGAACAAAACAGATGGATATTCAAGCCGGTCCCCTCGAAGCTGACCCCACGTACGACCGCGCCAGCCTTCCAGCATGCGAATCAACGACGCTCGCATCTGAGGCTCAAGAGCTTTGTAGGTCCCATCGGAACGCAGCGGCTGTGAGTCGCTGACCCTGGCGGTTTCTAAACGCTCCTTCCAGCACGCTACAGCCGTAGCGTCGCACTCGAATTCTGGACTTGGTGCATGAAAAGCGCAACAGCCATCACGGATGGCAAACGGTTCATCATTGGCGGCGAGATTCGACTGGCGCGGACAGAACTCTTGCGACGAGTTGAACCATTGAAGCATCTGCGGGTCGAGTTTGGCGCGTCGTGCAGCATCTGTTTTCTGTTGCGCTGTGGTGATCTCGTTCTCCGGTATGATGCGGACCCATGGAGGTGCGAATGTATATGCCACACCAAGAGATCCATTGCGAACTGCACGGCCAATCTTCTGCATTTGGGCAGCAAAGGAGGGCGGGCGATCCTTCTGAAAAGCAGGTATGCCGGCAATCACGACTCGTGTAATGTTTGGCGCGTCAAAACCGTACGCGCAGGTGTCCGTACATACACCTATCCTCAGAATCTCGCCGCTTTGGATGTCCTTGATGAATTCTTCGCGATATGGGCGTTCAAAGAGTGAATTGTAAAGCTTGATGATTGACCGGCGATGGGGCACATGGAGGGGAATTAGATGGTCAAGGAAGACCATAATACGCCACCCGAGCTCGATCGTCTCCGCAAAGATGAGCGTTGTCGGGATGTCTGTCGGAGCTGTCATGTCACAAGGTATGAGGAAGCTGAGGTCGAGGAATTGGTAGCCGGTGTATGGATGTTCGAAAAAACGTGGAATGTACTTGATGTTTGGGCGATCGATGGAGTACCGGGCGTTGACGAAAGAACTCGGGTGAAATCCCAGCTCTTTGCGAATGATCGCAGCCTCGGAATGTGTCGCTGTACCGGTCACCGCTGCCCATGTCACGGAGGTGAAGAGTCGGGCCCGCATATGCTTAAGGGCTCGATATGCGGTACACCACTCGCCGAACTGCTGGTTAACGAGCTGGGCTTCGTCGACGAAGAACCACCGAATCTGACGTTTGAACGTAGCTTGTGAGAGATACTGGTTTATTCGCTGGTGTTGGAGCATCTGTGGACTGATGGAGATGACGCGGATGCCGGGCGACTCAAAGGCCTCCTTGAAGAGGTCCTGACCCGTGTCACGAGCGTCACGAACGGTATCTTCGTTTAGACATAGTGAATATAGACCTCGAGACGTTGCAGATTTTGCCTAAGAGATGGGTGAGCTGTGTAGTCCGTGCCAATGAGTCATACTCACATGCTGTTCACCCAGGAGTTTCGTCGGAATCACAATAAATGCGATCCCAGTTTCCTTCCGAGCTTGTGCTGCAAGCAAAGGTGCATGAAGAACCGTTGTTTTTCCTGTCCCGGTAGCTGTTACCAGCATGAGATCGCGTCCGGCCATGAGATCCAAGCCGTGGTCCAGTTGAAATGGGCGAACAGAAGTGATATTGCATTTTTCCTTGAGTAAAGATTCCAACCACGCGCGCGAGTCAGCTCTAAGGGCTGCCATAGATCATAAATATAAATAGATAGCAAATCAAGGACCTCCGGAGGCCCTGGTGTATGTACAGGCAGTAGAGACCGAAGAGGTGCGCGACGCGACAGGACGCGACACGGCTTGCTTGATCGCCCGTTGATTGTCGCGGAGCGAAAATCCACGTGTCGCGAGTTCCCACGGACCACCTCCCCTACGACCGCCGTACGCTGGACCAGCCTACGGCCCTTCTTGCGGGTTCAGAATCAGGCCGCCATCGCTGCGTCAAACGATATTCCACTCTGGCGGCGCGGACGGCTCGATTGGTCGCAAGTCCAGTCGGACTGACCCGGTCGTTCCCAAAATAGCTCGGGCCCATCCATCCTGGACGAGTGGCCGCCGAAGAATTCACCGGTTTTTATGCATCTGCATCAGGAGCATGGACCAGGATCCATCTCCATCCGTTCTTATCCCGCCTCATGCGTCTCTCAACGACCATCGTCGTCTTGGCCCTCGCTGCGGTTGGCCTGTGTATGTCTTGCGCGACGCGACACCACATCCTTCTGGAGTCCTGACAAACTGTGCGTTCATAGGTCACCGCCACGAGAACCTTTCCGCGCATGAGCTCCGCGCCCGGAAGGTATGAGCTTCTGCTGAGTCCTTGGTCTTGAACAGATGTTCATGGCAACTGTCATAGGCCGCGACTCATAAGCGCCATGCGGAGGTGCGCAGCGCGTGCAGCAGCCATATCGCAGCGTACCACTCGACCCGCAAGGCCAAGCGCAACCTAGCGAAGAGGTCCTTGGCCGATGTAGACGCGACCGTGCATGTGCCCCACCATTCGGCTATCGAAAACGTCAGTCGATACTCCGTCCACTTTCACGGAACTTGCTGACATAGACAACCCACGTACAGTATACCTGCGTCACCGCCCCTGTAAGGTCTCTTCCCGGTGCACGACAGTGATAGCTTCTAACACTGGTTACACGATCTTCCAGGAGGTCATGGAAGGCCCTTATTACATGTGAGTTCGTTTGGCCCAGTTGTTGGGTCGTCTCATGGAATACATGCCATAGTAACAATGAGCAAGTCCGCCAAGACCTGAGGGATGACCAACCGTGGGTTTTTGAGACCATCCACCTTCAGCCTCCCATCGGATATTCATATCTCCCTCTTTATAAGGGGCATCAAGCTCGTTCTCGACGTTGGGGTTATTGACGTCTTAACTTGCGAACCGCTCGAAGACGCCCTTGTCGAGCTGTGGACTGCGAATGCGACCGGCGTGTACTCGAGTTACAGTGCAAACCTCGAAGGTCCCCCTCCAGGTCCTCCTGGTGGACCGGGAGGCCCGGGTAAGGGACCCGGAAGGAAGCCCTCCGGCGGCGACAAAGGCCCTCCGAGCAAGGGAGGCAAGGGTCGGCCCCCGGGACCCCCTCACGGCAGTCCGGCCATGACCGCGAACGAGACTTTCCTTCGAGGCGGATGGATGACCGATGCAGATGGCATTGCTGAAATGACTTTGGTAATCACGCTTCTCAAGGGATCGCTATGTAACTGAATATCTCACCCAGGTTTACCCTGGTCACTATGCTGGCCGCGCGACACATATTCACACCATGGTTCATGTTAATTGGTCTATGAGTGTAGGTCACCGACTGTTTACCCTCTGCATTACACCGACCCCTTCGGTTTACAGGACAACGGGTGATGACTCCCCTCATTCTCCGTCGGAAGCTGGTCGCTAAATCATTGGTTCAGGACGCTGATCTCTCACGCTGGCAACGTTGCTCACATCGGCCAGTTGTTCTTCGACGATGACCTCACAGATCAAGTGCACAAGCACTGGCCTTATTCCCTCAACAAGAGGCGAAGGGTCCGCAACTCCGAAGATCCCCTTTTCGAGGAAGAGAATGCCGACGGTGCGTGACAGACATCGCATGCAGCTTGTCCCCCGCTAACGTGCACAACAGGCAACAACGCCATCATAGAGTGAGTGCTACCACACCAACCTAGTGAACGTGCTCAGGGGATTTCAGAATCGATATGTTGACCGACAACATCGCCGACGGTCTCCTCGGGTATATCAGTCAGTGAAATAATTGCAAGATTTTGAGGAGCTCGCTGAGCGTATCTTTTTAGCGTTTGGTGTGAACAGCTCGGCTTCCTACGACATACACAACACGAATTACCTCAACTCATCGACCAAGAGCGTTGATGCGACTGGGGACGCCTCGGCAAATACGATGGCCGCCGATGATCAAGATGTCCTTGTAGAAGGGAAGTTCGTGATCCAAGCCTAACGTTTTATGGATCGATGTGATCCCGGGACTTCCATACTTAACATGTACATCCACATATATCTCTACCTAGAGATCGCGTTTATATTTTCATCTCGTTGTATACATCAGGTTGAAAATCACTTCCTGTGCCAGTTCAAAGCCCATAGCATGGATCCCACCGATAAGCAGCCCTCTTATATCCGGATTCTGCCACTCGGGCGATTGCTTGTGCCGCTGGTCAGTCCGCGTCATGAACCCACATTTGGGAATCCCCACCTCAGCAGACTTCACTAGTACGGCACCATTCTCAAGGCCAGCCATGAGTTTCACGTTGTTCAGAACAGATTTCGGTACTTCCGGTACAGGATCTGGGAACGAGAATTGAGCACGGCCATAATGCAAGACGGCCAGAGTCCCACCTTCTTTGGTTGGTCCGGGACCTGCGATGGAATGCTCTGGGTGTGCAAAGCAGGCATATCTGTTCTTCTCCAGAAGCGGTCGACACGACTCGAGAGTGTGCCACGAATAAGTTTCCTGTTTATCGTTTAATCGTTTGCGTGCATCACGCCTGTAAGTGATAGTGCGCACGGGGTCCAGCAGATAGGACGGAGCAAAGTCTCCTTTGTAGCGCATCTGAGATATTACGTCAGAGACACCTCTTTGAGGGGTGTCATCGGCTTACCTTCGGGCAAGAGTGGATGTAGAAGCCTAGGTATCGAGCTCAGCGACTATAAGGGGCAATCAATGCATTACTTGCCCATGTACTGCGCATTCATGTTTGGAAGGCCGTGCTCATGCATTTCTTCTGCAATATAATACGTGTTAGGGCTTTATTTGGACAATCTCCGATCAGCGTACGGGCCAAGGCAGCCTCGCGCATGGCACTAAGCTGCACACCAATAAGATCGCCATCGACCGCTATGGCACCAGCGACGCACCTTCCCCAACGAGAACCTCTCCCATTTCTTATCGTACATGAAGTACACGCTGGAAACCTTGTTTCCCCGTTTCAAACCTAGACGGATCCGCGAATTCTTAGAGACGTACACATGTAGGGAGGATGTCAATGACCCCAATGGCGATTAGTTCGCCATCCAGACGATACGTCTGGTGGTAGGAGCCGTAGTGGGTGGGCAGATGCTTCGGAGGAGCTTTCCCATATTGAATCTCTTCTCTCTGCAGTAAACATCAGTAAATTCAACTGGTGTCATAACCGTAAGCATGTACTATCAGAGGCGTCTCTACGAGGAAACCCTTGAATCCAGCAGGGGTACTGTCGTCGTTGTGTATGTCGTCCTGATATCTCTCAAATAGCCGGAACTTCTCGACGTCATACGAGGCGAATTCAAGAGAGACCTAAGCATCTTCATCAGTCCAGATGATTTATGCACAGTACTCAGAAAGGGACACCCACCTCAAATTTGTGTTTGTACTTGCCGTTGCGCACGAAGTCGCTCTCTGACGCATGAACGGCGTGTACCAGGGAGAAAGGCGGAAGCTTCGTAGTTTTCTTGGCCGGGCTACGCATATCAACAACATTCAGGCTCCCATGCTTTTTGTCGCAAGTTATGCCGCTCACTTTCCCCCATCAGTATCCATAGCCGACGGCGGGAGCTCATTGTCACCGTGGACGACGAACCGCGTCCACCTTACGATGTCACGATGCAGCATTTGCCAAGCAGAAATATGACGTTACCTGCTCATCGCCTTTCTCTGACTCTTTGTAGGTTTGAATTCCAGTGCATCCAACCTGCGAGTTATAGTAGGCGTTTAACACGCGGGTATCAAAGAGATGGGCGTCACAGTACTTGATGGTGTACTGAGGGCAACACGATCGCTTCAAATCCCTGTGCAGAGCATATTCATGCCTCAGACCTGCGACCTTTGACCATGTATTGCAGGATCATACGGTTTGTAGCAGAATGCGCCGCTGCGTCTCCACCCGCGATCAATCATCTGCGGGCAGGCGTCTGATTCAGCACCGTAGAACATAGCGCAAACACCACAGTACCTTCTGATACACCTATATATGTGGCGAGAGAAAAAGCACCACATCAAGCTGGGATTCCAGACAGGCTCGGAGATAAGTAGTACCTCGCAAGATAGCTGAAGAGGATCAAGGTCGAATTTATAGCTCGAGCGCGTTGCAGAGCGTCTTCCAGGAGGTGAACAGTATCCACATGTCGAAGATCCATGGCCATAAGGGCAGACTATGCTAATGACCCCCATAACGTGCTCGCAATGATCAGCACGATGCGCTATGTCGTCGTGCCAGTGGTCGCGGTACGAAGTGAGGTCAAGCTTGGATATATAGCACAGCCATCGTCCCGTTATCTATGCAATGCGTAATATGAGAGGAGGGTCGTGAACCGAGAGCGTACATGGTATCATCCAACTGCATGACGGTGTTATATGTATACAGATGCGCAGCGTGCAAGCGGGGGGAAGAGATGGTATAATGCAGCGAGATGTGTCCACGACGATGATGCGACAGAGCTCATCAGCCCCAACCATCCCAGCGTCCGAAGCGGCGGAACTCCTGCAAGGTGCAATCGCGACCTTCATGCTCCCGCTCCTTGCCCTTGTCGCGACCCCGAGCCGAGGACCCGCTGCTGGAGCGCGCACGCGACCTGACACCAGGGAAATTCTTCACGCTCGGGGGAGAGCTCGACATCGGCGAGGTTGGGTGCCGCTGCTGATTATGCGCACCGGATCCCGACGTCCCAGACTTCGGCAACGATAGTCGATACCATCCCCCGGAGTATGTAAGAACGATCAGCTGAAATTCGCCCTTGCGCTCGTCTTCTCTAGGAGCCTCGATCCAGCCGACCACGCAGCGCTCCTCGTCGACCACGTCCTCCGTGGACGGCCTCGGTCCAGGCGCCGATAAAGAGATATGCGCCGACTGCGCGGGTATCCGATACTGCGCGTACGACCACTCCGAGTCGAAGTACTTGGGCAGCGGCAGGAAGGGCGTCAAGGGCGAGAACGTCGATTGGCGATTCCTGCAACACGACAACGGACCCGAGTCAGTATACACTCTGGCCGCTCAGATAAACAGGGAGCAATTGCAAGGCACGCACGACGGGCCTGGACCTGATGAAACCAGCGCGAAAACGTGCACGGTGCCCTTATCGCTCCAGACGCATAGCTCAGCCTCGTCGGGCCGGAACGCAACGCCGTAGATCACCGCCTTGTCGCTCCCCCGCCGGAATTCCCGCGCGAGCTTGCCCGTGTGCGCATCCCAGACGCGAACGAGGGTGCCGCGCTCCGACGTCGTGGCGAGCAGCCTGCCGGAGGGCGAGGACGTCAACGTGTTCAGCGCCGAGGTGTGGGCGGCGATGATCGGGACGGGATCGCCGCGTAGCGGCGGCGGAGGCTTGGGTGGCGGGGCGGACGGAGGGCCCACGGGCGTCGGAGGGGCGCACGGGGGTAGGTGGACGAGGTGGACGTGGCCGAGCTGTTTACCCGGTATAGCCAGGAGCGTGGCGTACGCGCCGGTCGCCAGCGTCAAGAGCCCTACGATGGCATCCGGGATCGTGAGCACAACCGGGCGCGATACGATCGAGGATCGCGCACTTACATACCTCTGGGATTATCCGATGTATCCCATTCTCCGTACCGCGACACGCTCGCGCCGAGCTGAAAGACGACCACGCGCCGCCTGAGAGCGACGGCGAGCCATCCGCGCCTGCACGCCAGGCCGCGCACTCGCTCGCGGAATTCGAGTTCGGCTACCTCCTTGCCCAGCGCATCGTCCCAGAAGACGACCTTGTTCGGAGGGTACCGCGGACTGCGCCCTCCCCCGACGAGGAACAGCAGCGACGAGGTATGGCAAGGTAGGACGGTGGTCAGCGTGCCTCCGGTGATCTCTGATCGGGACGTTCCGCGCGATCAGTTCTTCGTATCCCCGCCGAGTCCGATGGCGGCAGGCCTCTCACCTCGCGTCCGGAGCAGCCTCAGCGGGTGGGACTGGTACACGGCAAAGCCGGCCGGGGTGGAGACGGTGAATATGGCGCAGTCGGCATCGAACCTAGCGTCTAGGATGAGGACCGGCTTGGTGGGGGTGATGGAGTGTCGAGCGAGGTTCATGGAGACATCGGCGTGGAGGCCAGAGCCTCTCGTCTCTCTCAAGCTCGTCACTTCGGGCGGAGTGGCGCGAACCCCGAAGCGAAGGGGCCCTCACAGCAACACGTGCACGCGACCTCGATACGGACGTGTGCGGAAGCAGATGTTGCATGTATACAGCGCACGTACTGTACATAAAAAGCACCGTCTCTGATTGCATGTATAGAGGTACAAATGAGAGCGTATATTCCTAGATGACGATATCGAGCCAGACCCAGAACGTCCATCCCGCACCTTATCGGATCCCTTTATGTATGTTACACCGAGCAGAAAACCAGCCAAGAAACCCATGTGACCCGTCCCTCGCGTGCTCAGACGGCATAGCCGGAGTACTGCTTGGGGGCATTGTAGTTGTACGCCGAAAGCGGGGCGTGCGCGGGGGCGTTCGACCGAACCGTGCTGTTCCACGACTTCGGGGGCTGCAAGTTGACCCGCTGCAGCTGCTTCCTGGCAAGGTTGAACTCCACCTCCTCCGCGTGGTTCTGCGCGAGCAGCGCGGCCTTGAGCTCCGCCTGGCGCTGGATCTCGGCGTCCGACTCGTCGGAGAGGTAATCGGTGAATCCCTCGGACGTGATCGTGTTGTTATCGCTCAGCGAGCCGCCGCTGCTCGTGCTGGCGCTGCTGCTGGCCGAATTGAGCGACTTGGCGGCGGGCACCGAGGTCTTGACGGGCGCAAGGACGGGCGTGGGCATGTCTTCCAAGCTCGTGCTCTGCCGGCGCTGGCGATTCGACGTCGGAGTCGACTGCGGGGCGCTTGCTCCGCTCTCACCGGAGCGCGGAGGGGACGGGGCCGCGCGCTGCCTGGCGCCCGAGCCCGAGCCCGTGCCCGTACCTGTACCGGCGGTCGAGGCCCGGCGAGCCAGCGAGGGCCGTTTATCGTCGGCGATGGCCGCGCCGCTCATGGCCGCCGCGAGCGCGGTGACCGACGTCCGCTGGACGGATCCGCGGCGGCTCACGCTGCCGCCCTCGAGGTCGGCGTGCCTGCGGTTCGGCGAAGAGTGCTCGGCGCGGCGGGAGAGCGTGGCGTCGGCCGAGATGAGCCTGGGCGAGCTGAGCTTGGACGGCTCGCGGGCGGGGTGGTCGTCGGCGGCGGCGACTGTCTTCGGAGACGAGTGGATGCCGGCCTTGGACGTCTCGCGGACGGGGGTGAGGGACGACGAGACCTGCTGCGGGCTGGCGGTGCCGGCCCTGGCCTTGGTCGGGATGGCGATCGGCGTGGTGCGCGGCGAGGCGTTGGGCTTGGTGGGCGTGATGGTGGCGGAGGTGCCCTTGGGCGAGCCCTGGCTGGCGGCGACCTTGATCGTGGGCACCTTGACGCCGGCGCCCTCGAGCGCGGCGCGGACGTCGGCGGGGATGTTGACGTGGTGGACGAGCGAGACGGCGAGCCAGTCGGCGGCGCTGATCAGCCGTTTGTCGTCCTCCCTGGGCGGGCGACAGCATCCGGGCCAACCGGCATTGTTGTAACCGGCGGCTTTCGACGGCGGGTTGGCGTTGGCCCACTGCGAGGACGGCGGGGATGAGCGGCGTGCGGGCTCGAGAGGGGGCGGGCATACCTTGCAGTATCCGCAGCCCTTGAAGGTCGGGACTGATGGGACGACGTCATGATCAGCGACGGGCAGTGATATCGGGCACCGGGGGGCTGGGGACTGCACGGACCTTCGGGGTTCTTGAGGTAGACGACGTTGCCGCGGGGGTGGTTGGCGCGATTGGTGCACGTCTCCCTGATGTGCGGGCACCTGGCGGGGGGGCGCGGATCGGGGCGTGAGCGGGGCGGGGTGCGGCGAGCGGGGGACGGGGTGCGTACCTCGCGCCGGTGGGCTTGTAGACCTTGCACATGGGGCAGACGGCGGTGGCCTGGTCGATGGAGCCTTGGACGTAGCACATGACGGACGCGGGCTATGAGGGCGGAGGACAAGGGCTGAGATGGGTCGTCAGGCGCTTAAAGCGGGCGATTGGGTTGATTGGGGTGTCTGGGAACGGCCATATGTGCTCGGGGCGCGGGTGTGCTCTGGTGGGATATGTCGGGCGTATGTCGAGCGTAAGATATGTGGGCGTCCGTCTGGGCTGCTCGCGCTGCTCCCCCGTCCTCTGCACGGCGCTCGCCGCCGTTTCAGCTCCTCGAGGCAGCCACCATATCGGGAACCCACGCCTTACGTCACCCGGCACATCCCAGTCCGCACACCGCTCCCGCTTGGCACCGCCTGCGCGACGCCGATGGCTGTAGACCCAGCGTCCTGAGCACTAGGCACTCCCGTCCCTCCTCCTCCTCCCCGTCCTCCACCGACCATGGGCAAGTCGCAGTCAAAGCTTTCCCCCGAGCAGCTCGCCGATCTCCAGAAACACACCTACTGTGCGTCCCCCCGCGTCCCCCAGCCCGGCCCCCGCTCACCCCCCGCCCAACAGTCGACAAGCGCGAGCTCCAACAATGGTATCACACCCCTTCTTCTCGTCCCCACACCGTCTGCGCCCCGATCCGACGAGTTTTCACAGGTACAAGGGCTTCCTGAAGGACTGCCCCTCCGGCCAGCTCGACAAGACCGAGTTCAGCCGGATCTACAAGCAGTTCTTCCCCTTTGGCGACCCCGGCGAGTTCGCCGACTACGTCTTCAACGTCTTTGACGAGAACAAGAACGGCACCATCGATTTCAAAGAGTTCATCTGCGCCCTCAGCATCACCTCCCGCGGCCGGCTAGACGAAAAGCTCAAGTGTACGTACCGCAACTCCCGGGCGCCTAGATCGACACGCCGAACCCGAGCTCATCCAACGTCCAGGGGCCTTCCAGCTGTACGATATCGACGGAGACGGGTTCATCACGTACGACGAGATGCTCCAGATCGTCCAGTCTATATACAAGATGACCGGCAAGATGGTCAAGCTCCCCGCCGACGAGGACACCCCCGAAAAGGCAAGTACAACTCCCTAAGAATGGATCCAAGCTGACGATTGCGGTATAGCGAGTCGACAAGATCTTCCGGAACATGGACCGGGACAAGGACGCCAAACTGACCTACGACGAGTTTGTCGAAGGCAGCAAACAAGACCCCACCATCGTGCAGGTGCGTCGGTCACCGGGTGCCCGACTTGACCGGACCTCGTGCTGATCCCCACCACCACCTCACAGGCGTTGTCGTTATACGACGGCTTGGTATGATCCGCGATCTATCGACGGACCGCATAACGCCCCCCCGTTCCATGGCTCGCCATATACCCAATGCCCCCTATTCGTATTATCCTGACAGAACAGAACAGCCAATGCCGTTGTATTTTCGCCGCCGGACTCATCAGTAGGTATTCCAGCATGTGTTGTTGTTTGCCATTCAGATACATAGAATGTATTTCTACACCTACATCTGCTCTTGCGTCAGGGTGAAGGCAGCCTGCCGTATTTCCTCAACACTCGATCCTCCACGTCCTGGCCCAGCCATGTGTACACGCCTTCCGAGAACTCGAGGTTGTCCTTCTCGGCCTTGAACAGCTTGTTGAAATCCTGCGGCTGGCCAGGAGCGGCTTGCTGGTTTGCCATGTTGGCGAACGGGGACATCGCCATATCCCGCGATGCGTCCGCGGCTGTGGAAGCGTTCGTGAATGCCTCGCCTTGAACAGGACAATAGAGCGTTACCGTTGTCGCCCCCGAGTATGAGTCGATAAAGGCCATTCAGGCCAAAGAAGTTGAGGAAATACCAAGAAAGTGACGAAACGAAGCGGACGTCCATGTCCTGCGTCTCGATCCCTCGTTGAAGCATCGACTTGAAGCCAAGCGTGAGCGGGAACGGCAGCTTGACTGTATCCGGAGCGTCATCAGTGCGCTCTCTGATATAAACGTGACAACGAAGAACAACGCACTCAACACGAATCCCTGGAAGAAAAAGTTGATCCAACCCATGAGCACCATCTGCGGGCCCATCATCACCATCTGCGTCTTCATCCCGGCCATCATGCCCTCCATCTGGCCCGGGTCCGTCAACGGGTTCGGCGGCTTCACCTGCTCGTTCTCCTTCGGCGGGCCGTCTTTCAGGTACTGGCCGGTCGAGAAGGCCTGGATCAACGACTGCGAGATGGCCTTGTAGTGCGTCGGCGGTATGGGGGAGTTGGCCGCCGTTGCGCGGAGGATCTGGGCGCGCGTGAGGGCGCGTCTGCGAAGCAGGGATGAGCGGCTGCGAGGAGACGTAGCATGGGGCCGACGCACTGCTCGCGCAGTTGCGCACGGCTGAGTTTCTTAGGTGTAGATTGCAGTAGGGAGACGACGTAATGTCTTAGTATCCCTACGAGGATCTTCCGAACACCGTCAACAAGCAAATCATTACGCCGGAGTTCTGTGAACGTACCATAACCACCGTGATGGGGAAAAGGACCCAGTCCCGTATCTGCGGGTCCAAGTACAAGGACACCCTGTGTTTATCGTGTAAGATGCTCGTGTGCGCCAGAAGTATGGGCAACATACGCTGAGGACGGCATGATGGATACTGCTGGCTGGCGCTTGCTGAGCGCGACGGCGGCGGGGAATGTGCTGAATTCGTGGCTGTGCATCCTCTATGGGTCCTGGCTCCTGGCATGCGTCACCCCCGCGGGCCCGATACTTGAAGAAGGCTCGGACAGCCAAGGTGCAGTCTGCCCTCTCTCATTCTACACTTCATCGATCATGGCTCAAAACATTCTTGATCCCTCTGCAGTGCTCTCTCGCCTTCCGAACCTACTACCTACCACCTCCAGATCGCTCAGCTCGCCGCAGGATGCCGTGGTTGCCCTCTTCCATGCCGCTTTGACCAATCTGGCCTTCAGGCTCGTTGGGACGGACGAATCGTCGGCGATCCAGTCTTACGAGAACAACGCACTTCCTGAAGGATGGAACGCTCATGGTCCGGGACACTACGCGCTCAGATATAAGCATGAGCAAAGCAGCCTCGAGTTCCTGGTCAAGGTCACGAAACTCGGGACGCGCACGATGGTCAACGCGATCGCGCTCGAAGTACGTGACCTGTCCAACGACGTTTGATATATGTCTGATCTGACTCGTTTTAGAGCGACAAAGCCGCGTCGCTCGATATACCTACCAATGACTTCACATCGCCCTCGTTCTTCCCTCACGATCTTTCGGCAGCAGACGCACCACCGCTCGTGCACGGTTTCATCGCCTCCAACCGCGTAGCCGACCTGCTCTCCCTCTTCAAGGTCCAGATCGTACAAAAGCTCGTCCCTGGGCTCAGGAAGGAGGGCTACACGGAGGACTCAACCAACACGTCCACCAACGCGGGCGACCGCGCACCTCCGCCAGGCAGGCAGCCGGCGCCCGCACAGCCGCGTCCCAACGCGCCGCCCGAGCCGCCGTACATCCCCGGCCAACCCTACTCGCACATACCTCCCCAGAACCCGCTCGAGATCGGCAGGCGCGACCGCGACCCGTTCCCCGCAGGCGTGAACCCGTTCGCGCCGCCGCCGCTCTTCCCGGGCGCGTCGGGAGACGGCATGTTCGTCGGCCCGAACCACCCCATGTTCGGTCCCCGCCGAGGCGGGATGGGCAGCCCGTTCGGCGGTGAGCCTACGGGACCGTGGGGCGGCGACGGCTATTTGCCTCCTTTGGGCGCCCCTCCTGGCGCACGCTTTGACCCCGTCGGTCCCAGCCTCGGACCAGGTTTCCCAGGCCGTGGGCAGCCTCTGGGTCGAGGCATGCCAGGTTTTGGTAACCTGCGCGATCCTGACAATGACGACTTTATGCCCCCCGGCGCGGTGAGTGACATGCCTATATGCGGACAATCGTGTTGTGGGTGCTGACAACGTCGGCAGGGTGACATGTATTCTTAGAAGCTGCCGTAGGCAAAAAGCCGTACGGAGGGTGTATTGCTCCACTATTGTTGCAACATCGTTCGCGGTTGACTCGATGGAAGAAGGGTGTCAGGTTTGGGCTGTGTCAATATGTATGAAAACTGTTCCACCAGCTGTGATTGTGCTATCATGTCGTCTCGAATAATCTGTACCAGTGTACTCGTCTGTTGCTTCCCCTCGCCGTAGACTGCCTGCGGTTGATGATGGATCCTTCCGTGACTCGAGCGGGAAGCATGCAGAAAACGGAATGTGTGTTCCACGTCTGCTAGGGGTCCTGCCTAATCCGGAGAACTGCTAATCTCTGGACGCATATAAGCGACGGCCCATATACTGCGTAGCGTAGCCTCCGACTTTCCACCCTGCCCATCGCCCGCAATACGCCACTACTGACATTCGATACACCGTCCGATATCTTCACCCCCCAGCACCGCGAGCGAGAGACAGATGTCTACCTCCCCCCGGAGCAGCCGCGCGGGGTCACCGACCGGTACTTCTCCTACTCGTCGGCGCCAGTCAACGAGCACCGTACCCCATGGGTTCCGTGCGCCTCCCAGGCCGCGTCAGACACCCATAGGACAAATGTCCGTTCGTGAGTTACGCGAGGCCCACGAACGCAACGCTAAGATCCTTACCGCACCGTATGTCTCACCCCCCTCGGATGTCCATCCACGAGGTTCCGATGCTAACATTGTCTTGTCGCGTGTCGGCACGCAGAACACCATCATCATCTACGTATGTTCAGCGCATCTCGGCCGAGCAGGCTCGCATTGAGGCACGCCTAGTTGAGCTCGTCGGAGTGGACGAGATCAGGCGCGGACTCCAGAACACGACCATCGACAGTGAAGGCAAGATGAGCGTCGACTCACAGTCGCAATCTACTATGCCCCGCGCCATCGGGGCAAAGCAACGAGCATTAGCGCGATATGTACGTTTACCCTTTCGGCATGGAGGAGTGCGATCCGTCCGCTGACCTTTCGATCGATATACAGGCCCCCCAACCATCCCAAAGTCATGTCAATCCAAGCGATAGCATGTTCACACTACAAGAAGCCATTGAGATCGAACGCGAAGCGCACCAGTTGGAACTCCAACGACAACGCGATATCATCGACAAGAAACGGCGGCAAGGCATCCCAATACCGGGCGAAGTCCTGAGCCGGAAAGAGCAAGAAGCCCGAATTTGGGCGTTCATGTCAGTTCATCCTGTTATCTTCCCACACGCTACAAGGGCTGACTGCATATCGTCCTAATCATGCTCTCGTTCTCGGGTGCCTTCTCCAGGAACCACAAGCCGACCGACTCCGATCTCGAAGACGATTCGGACGAGGATGACGATCCCTCGACCTGGTGGGACGAGGACGACAATCAAGATGGCATCAAGGGGCAGCAGATTGTCGAGCCCGACGAAGTTTTCTCGGACGTGATCCGTATCGATACCACCCGCATACCATATAATACGCTATACGAATCCGAGTCGTAGTACTTGCCATACGTCTAACAGAAACAGTCGCATATTCCTTCGATTTCGCATATGTATTGTAATTCTATTATCCTTTGCCTTGCATTCCATTAATGGTCTCATTATTGTGGGCTTGCCATCATCCGGTCGCAACTAGTGCAGACATTATGCGGAAATGTCCGGTTTTCTGTGCCCAAAGGCTCGACTGACCTCGAAAGTAATAAGTGAGGGACGGTCGACTTGCCCACAGATGCAATTGTGCAGGCCTTCACCGCGCGTGTACGGGGCAGCTTCTCCCACGTTGCAACCAGGAGGATAAGCAGGCTTGACCGGCCCGGACAAGTCAGCCAATCAATATATAGAAGTGCGGCGTTTGATCCACGCACTGTTGTGAAAACTGCACAGGCAGCTCAGGCGAGCCACCATAGATCCCTCGGTAAATTCCTCCAGACATATCACGCCTGAGAAGGTGTTTGGCAGTCGGACAGCGAGGATGAAGGTTCTAAACGTACACTCTATGCCAATAAGGACTGATTGCGCCGGAAGCTGATATACCAGGTACTTTGCAGCCTGAGAAGCCGCGCCGTTTCCGCCCTCCAGACAATTTTTGACATGGAGTTCTTGCATCTCTGATGGACCCAGGTCTAGTAGATTCTGCGCGCAAACGGGACATCTGCATGGCGTCAGAGTTGAACGAAGGCCTTGACGAGGTTTGTACGTACTCTGCGAGATCGCTCAATTGTGAGCTCGAACGCTGCCTTGAACGGGGGACCGACAATCGATCTTGATCAATGACTATGCGCTCAAGGGACCCAGTCCTGGGCCCTTGGAACCGCGATGGAACGGCGGCAGTAACTTCATCATAGCAGCCTTGGCAAACCCGATGTGACGAGGAACCGGACCCGCTTTCGGGCAACGCAGGGTCATGGACCACGTCGGAAGGATCCAAGAGGGCGCGGTAAGAAGAACAGCGATCGCAGAATATCCGACCGCATCGGCGGCAGTGCTAGAAACCCGTCAGTTATTCTGCGCGGCGTCGACCATCTCAGATCTTACATGCTATAAAACCGAGGTCAGCACGTTGATGACGGACAGAATGCATGCAAACGTACTCTTCTATTCAAGAAGTTGAAACGCCTATGGCATTCACGACATTCAGAGACGTGTTCGTCACGCTCCCATACGGCGTGCATATGATGAGGCGTTGGAGGAGCCCATCGCGGGGTCATCACTTTCTGAGGCGCTTCGTGAGTAGGTACCCGGAATTCGGGAGCCTGTGACAACTGCGGAGTCAAGTCAGTTGGGGCTCGATGAACTGTGGGTCTACTGAAGTAATCCGAGTTTCCGGACGATGACGCTCTTGGACCAGCACGAGGAGTCTCAACGGGAGAAGCGCCAGGATAATGGAACTCCTCATCTGAATCGTCGTCTTCCTCTGCGTCATCTTCGGCTGCCAAAAATGAGCCGCCGTATTGGAATACTGTATGGCAGCTAAACGTACCATGCCCTGAGATGAGCAGTCCTTGTGCACCTGCGGCTAGCCTTCGTCTTTGCAGCTCCCTGTTGTATGCGTTCAGCAACACTTCGCCTTGCGTCCGACGTTCCGCGTCGGAATCACCTAATAGCATGGATCATGGATCAACAACCGGTAAGAAAATAGTGATATGAGCTCCCTACCGAGGATACCCTGACGTAATTCGGTTGTAGCTCTCTCCAGTTTAGCAATGGCACGTCGCGCCTCCAGGGCGGACGCTGAGCCATCGGCGTCTGGGTGCGGCGTCCCAGCGAGGTAGCGTGCCCGAGCAACGTAATCGTTCGCCAATCCAAGCGCTGAAGCTGGCATAGAACCCAATTCCTGTCCATCAGCCCCTCCTGTGTGGTAATCATCCTCCTGAAAATGAGGGATGAGCGTGCCATCCTCTGCAAGGTGATACATGTTGCCGTCGGGTTGGAGGAATGGCATGGGAGGTATATCCAGGCGCCTTCGCATGACCCGAACCCATCGTCTACGTCGAACCCATTTGTGGGAGTGTGGTGTGGAAGTGCCAGACCCGCTATTACTTCGAGCTGTCGGCGTGCCAAGTCCAGCAGTCATCGCGCCACTACCGCTAAGCAGTCGCTGGAGCGGAGGAGGCGGCTCCGCAGCCCACTGATCTTCGGGATCGTCGAAGCTCCGCGCGTATTGCCATCCCTCCTCAGCGTCAACCCCGGGATGCGTGACATCGAGCGTCCAATCTGAGCTGTAATGATACATTTTGTGTGAAAGGTCAGTTCCGAACGTCATAATTGAGGTCAGAGAGATACTTACAGCCAGAAATGACTGCGTTCAGCACTGTCCTGGACGGGCCCATCGTGATGGATCGGGGCAGGCAATATCCATGGGTCGTGACGCGAAGGAAGCTGCACATCACTCCGCCACGCTCCAACATATTTCTTGCCGGTTTCTTCATCTCGTACAGGCAGTTTGAGCTCGAAAGGCGCCCTTCGCCCTCGCCTGCCAAGACCTGATGCAGAGAATTTCGGTACGCCACCAGATATAGCCAGCGTCTTAAATCGGACGTCAAGGCGCTGATTCTCATATAATACGAGAGGGACTGTAGTGTGAACGCGTAGAGGGTTGTACGGCACCGTGGTACCACGCCATCGCTCAGATTCGGCTTTCAATAGAACCTAGGCGAATGTAAGACTAGTTGATTCGAATCGTATACATACCGACGCACCTCGCAGATATAAATTTCGAATACCGCAGCAGCAACATCAAATGCAGTTTCTCCCCAATTATTGCGCACGAGAGGGTCCGCGGATTGTTTAGTAAGGAGATATAGGACGACAGGTAGATGGCCCTTTGAAGCAGCATTCACTGGAAGATCGCGAATCAGCAGAGAAAACGGGTCTCATTGGAAGCACGAACTGAGGGGCGTCCATCCTCCCTTGCTTCGTGCGTCCACTCCCCGAACCCCGTCAACTTCTGAAATAGCATTCCCATCTTCGCAAAGCCATCGAACTACATCCAGATATCCCTTGGAGCAGGCATTATGCAGAGCCGTCCAACCATCGGCATCTTGAGCGTGAACGTCGGCCTTCTCCGGAAGGAGGTATGCTATGACAGGTAAATGCCCATTAAGGGCAGCTTTGTGTACGGCCGTCTGCAGTGACGTTGGTCAAATCTTCGTTTAGGGAGTTGATATGCACGGACCTCGCCTTCCTTATCCTCTAGATCTGGCATGGCTCCGCACTCTTCCACGAGCCATTTCACAATTGCAAGATGACCCCTGCTGGCAGCAGCATGCAAGGAGTTCAGACCCGTACGAGATGACGCATCATTCGCTAGCGTGAAGGGCTCGAGATTGGCGCTCTCGAGGGTATTGCGGAAAACGTTCTGGAATAAGTGCAAATCCCCGGATGACGCAGCAGTGTAGAGCGCCTCCAATTGAGCCAGTGTTGGATGGGGGTGCACCAGAGACGTTTCTTGAGGGGGAGGCACGGGATATTCTTCCGCCGATGGCGAACTTGTCCGTCCTTCCGTGTGTATACCCGTTTCCGTTTCGGTGATAGGGTAGACAAACTCCTCTTCCTCGGCACCAGGCGCCGAAGCCACTTTCGACGGCTGTTTATCCGCATCTGTTCCATCCATACCAGACGTTATGTCCTCTCCGCCAGGATATACAAACTCTTCTTCATCGGAATCATCCCTGCCTACTACAGCACCTCTGCCATAACCGGGCGAGGGAAGCCCAGCAAGTTGAGACCTTTTAGCGTATTAGCTTTGACATGAAACGTCTCAGGGCGCTGGACGTACTCTTGATCCATTCCCAACGGAGACAAGGACGTGGCAGAGGTACTCATCTAGCTGATGGTTCGTACGCGAGCTCCTTCCACCTTAGCCTATGGATGTCACGTGCGCGACCGTCACAGTTATTTGAACTTATTTCTGGGCGCATCTATTGGGCATTGACATAAAGGTGTACTTGATACAGGCGGTAAGTGATTGTAGGTATACAACTGAGCTTCTAACGTCTTTGAGCAGAGTGCTGAAAGTCGTCGCCTCAAGACTTCACCATTCCGAAAGTCTCGACGTGAAGCTCCACGGATGGCTGACCGCGCAGTACTGACGTGGGGCTGGACAGCCTCGAACGAAGGATACGACGAATCGATTGGGAGATCGCAGAAGGGCCCGCGACTGATGAACCATCAATGATAATGCTCAGGACGGTAGACGTTCGACTCACCATCGACAGACACCGAGCCCGAAGAGGAGTTAATCTCGTCGTCCAATATTTGGGCGATGTCAGGACGCCCTTGGAATATCCTAACAGCGCTGTACGTAGGTAGAGCAGTCTTCTCGCTCTTCGCAATGGGACTGGCGACTGGACTGTCCGACCCGTAATCAAGAGTGGCCACTTCAGCCGTCCTACCCTTCCTTGTCACATAGATCCAGGGCTCCACAGCCAGAGATGGCGACGCATAGGTAAGGGCGTCATTCAACGTCGATGAAATCCAAGAGATATGCTCTATTGTGTGTCAGTTAACGTGGTGTCGAGTCCGCAGGACAGAGACTCGCCTGGATCTCGTACAGCCCACAGGAATACCACCCTGCGCACCCTAGAGGCGTTCATGTTCGACTGGCTGATGGGTACTGTCGGCATGAACCGTGGTAGCGCGATGTGCCTAAGTACTCACCGAATAATGCTCATGAGGAGGGACATGGTGTAGGAAACACCGCTGCCACCGGCAACGAGCAAGCAGGTAGAAAATCGCCTGAGGTCGGGCGGGCAGCCATACGGTCCATCTATGTAGGTGGGTACGGTGGTCTGACCGGATGCAGCAAGTTCGCGAAGGCGCCCGGTGAAACCTTGACGAGCGCGAATCAAGAACACAACATTCCTCGTCGCATCTCCCTTCGCTCCATTCAAGGGCTCGGGTATCCCTGCGATCGTGAAGGGGTGCGCCTGGTCGCCATGGTCAGAATACCGTGCTGTCCTTCGAGCTACCTCACTAACCTCGGTAGGCAGGCCACTGACGGTCGGCAGAATCACATAGGTGTGCTGACCGCTGAACAACTCATAGATTATCAGCAGGAGTGAGCAAGGCAGCAGAGGATTTCTTACGCCGTCCAGGTCATGCGTCGACGGAGAGTGAGGCGAACTGTATCATGCCCAAGCAATTCGATCCTGGCCGTTGTTGAATCACCGGAGTTCCTTCGCCATATGCGATTGTTCCAAAGGATCCGCCCTAAGCGCAGAACGCGGTCGAATGCCCAGACAAGAAGTGCAGGCCACACATAGGTAGAGTAGTTGGTGAATCGAGTGTGGAAATAGGCGCAAACCAAGAAGACAGCCACCAGGACTATGTGGGTCACCAGGAAGAACTCGAAGGCGTGGTGACGGATGGGGCTAGTATTGACATCAGGCTTCCGAGTTCGTATATGACGACGGCTATGCTCACCGCACAGACAGGATCGCAGCAAGCGTGAACGCTACTAGTCCCGTAGCGCCTGCGATCATCCAGTCATGCGTAAAGTCAAATTTGGTCGGCAAACTGGAAACGAGTCAGCAACTGCAGAAACCGGAAGCGATAGTAGGATGTACCCAGACACTACGCGAGCTATTGCATGCAGCCAGATAAAGATAAGGCACGTCCTCGCAGCAGCGCGGTGCAAGACATTCAACTTTTGAGCCGCTTCAGCCACCAACGAAAGCATGTGAAGGAAGCGAGCCCGACCTTTTCATGTCCAATCCCCGTCAAGACTATTCGTGCAACAGATCAGATGAGTCCAGTTATGCGAGTGATGGCGCACGAACATGATATCACGTTGTTCTTTCCCGCCAATGCCACAATTAAGGGGAGTTGGCATGACGCCAAGTGCGCGGCACGATCTTGGTAAAACCATGTTGTGAGGTTGCGTGCTAGGGGATCCATGCCGTACAGTCAGACAAGAGACGAGTTATCGAGGAGAGACTACGCACTGTCGATCAGAAGCCAAGCGAACATGGCGACAATGTAGCCACATATAAACACGAGCTCTGAAACTGAGATCACCGACGACGGGCCCATCGGGGCGGTCCAGCGATAGAACACAATCTTGAATCCAGCAGAAACCGCAGCTGGAAGGCGGCGCCAAGACACGGCTCCTGTACCACCGAGTCGAGGTTGGTCCTCCTCCAGCTTGCTGTCATATTCGGTAGGGGATGTGCGCCGCGAGGGGAATGCCAGATCATGCGTGGCGCGAATAACCCGTACGAGGGTAATGGCGCTAACAACACAAGCTATCAGTACCCATAGTTCTTTCACGACCCTCGCCGACTGTTCAGCCTTGAGATGAACGTCTGCAGGCGTAGGCGAGAAGCGACGATTCAGAGCCGCTGAGAGGGTAGCGAAAGCCATAGGTCTGACAACGGATTTTCCTTCTGGTGAACCCTTTAAATCGCCATGCAAGGTTATTTCTAGGCACGTCGGCGAAGCTTGCCACATCTCCTAGCAGCGGCCTCGGAGCGTCATAGTGCCCGGGAAAAGCATCAGACGGTCATTCGACGAAGGGTAGATTACTGGAAAGCGCCTCTGACGAGAGCAAGTGTCCGTAAAAGGCGACGAAAGCAAATCGCGGTGACCAAAACAGACCTGGCGAGGGAGCTTGATACCTCGTAGGGGCAAGGTCTCTTCATGCTCGGGATCTGGCGCCATGGCCACACAGTCTTCGGAAGCTGAAGTCGATAAAAACGAGTCTTCTGACGCAGCTGAATGGACGCGGAAGCGCGTTCCGCAGGCTGAGCATTGGAACGAACGGTGCCCGTCGACCGTTCAAACACCTATCACGAGTCAAAAACCATGCGTCACCCATGGTCATGCCTAGCACATAGTGGTAAAATTGACGCCTCGACAACCGGAGAATTCAGCTACGAGAAGTTATCCGCACTGAATACAATGTATTTCTGGCACTCACCAAGATCGTCGGTGAAAACATTATCCGAGGTGCATGCCGACCTTCGCCCAGTAAATGTCCTGAGCACGCCGTCCGGGAAAGGCTCGGTGAACCTCACGATGATTGTGCGGGGAAGCGTCGGCTATCGGTTCACAAATAGCTTTGCCATCCTGGTCGAGCATGGCGTAAAACGCGGCGAACATCGGTGAAGGTCGAGGGTGAATTCGTGTCGCAGCAATGTTACGTAGTGCACCTCGGATTGAAGAATTCAGCGAGTCATATGGCGAATTAAGATCCCGTTCGAGAGACTATGGGCGGCATAGGGAGCGTAAAACCCAGAAGCGATAACTACGGGGAAATACGGCTGGTGTAGTACATCCTCATTATTCCGCAGGCGGACGCCTTTGCAAGGTTGGCCCATGCCGCCGACAATTGATCTACAGACCTCCATGAAGTGGCAGCCATACGATAGAGTGACCATGCATATGATCAGGGCAAGGAGCAGCTGCAGGACGATAAGGGATAAAGCCGGTGGCGCAACGCCATCTTAGCGTCATTCGCCATCTGGATTACCTTTCGTCGGCATCGAAAATGACGGCTCGAGTTGCTGTCCGTTGCCTATGAGCGTATTCCGCCTCGCGCGACTTACCAGGCCAGCTACCATTGTTCGCTTTCCCGGGAAGATCACCACACGAGCTCGTTCAGTGTGTTCCGCGAGAAACATGTCGCAAGGTATGTTCCAATGAATTGCCGCAAGACTTTGGTTCACAAAACGCAGGTTTGACAACTGCGAACGGCCAGCTCTCTCGAGCAGATGTCAAAGAAGAAACTGTCCTGATTCCTTACTCGTCACGTTTGAACACCGGTCGTGCATTGGCTCAAGATGTATGGTCGATATTCAAGTACGTATGGAAGGTTCGCATCCAATCCCTAGAGCTGATAATCCCTAGTCCTGTCAATCTGCCGCCGGATAATATCAACCTAGGGCAAGGTGAGGGATCATGATATCTTGATGTGACACACGCTTATCACACTAACAGGCTTCATGAACTTCTCTCCGCCCCAATTCGTCTTGGACGCAGCTATCGAGGCGCTGGGGACGACAGCCGCAAACCATTACTCTCATCCCAAAGGAAGGATACGCCTTCGCCAGGCAATAAAGAACTTCTACGGCCCGTCTTTCAATAAGAAGGATCTTGATGTCGAAAACGAAATTCTCGTCACCAGCGGCGCAAATGAGGGTACGTTTGTCCGCACCATCCTGTGTACGCTATATTCATCCCTGAGAAGGAATGCTGGCTGTCTGGACCGCTTTTCTTGAACAGGGCGACGAGGTTATTTTATTTGAGCCATTCTTCGATCAATACCTCTCGAACATCACATTCAACGGAGGCGTGCCTGTGCGTACTGCGCTTATCTTCCGGGAACAATAACCTTATGCGACCGCGCAGGTCTATGTTCCCTTGCACCCTCGGACCAACGCAGACGACCCTGTGGAGGTTGACTGGCACATAGATTTCGAGGAACTGAAGTGCGTCGCAGAACCATACGATCGGTTGAGGTCTTATCGTCGACTAGACGCGCGATAACCCTTCGCACCAAAATTATCGTCCTAAACACACCCCATAACCCTGTTGGTTGGTGATGTTTTTGCGCTGTGCACCGCGTGCACCCAGTGACACGGCCTCCCAGGGAAGGTATTTTCAAAGCAAGAGCTGGAAGGCATCGCCGCTCTCGCCAGGGAGCACAACCTTATGGTGATGTCTGACGAAGTGGTGAGTGCTATCCGACATATCCCCGCAAATATCGAGATGTTCACCCCATCTCTCAACGTAGTATGACCTGCTGACGTTCGATGGGAATGAGCATGTACGCATTGCCAACCTCCCTGGCATGTGGGAACGAACTGTTACGATCCTTTCCGCGGGAAGTACGTACATATGACGCTTGCTGGTGTTCTATCATTGAACTGCGTGCTGCAGAGGCCTTCGCCGCCACTGGTTGGCGTATTGGGTATCTCATTGGGCCTCCGTCCATCATAAAGCCCACGCTCGCCGCCACCACGCGCATCGTGTTCTCATGCAATTCGCCGATGCAGGAGGCCGCAGCTGCCGGACTTGAGCAGGCTAACGAAAGAGGTTTCTTCGAGAAACAGCGCGCCGAATATGCCGAGAGGCGCGCCGTACTCCTTGATGCCTTCGGTAGACTTGGACTGAAGTACACGGCACCACAAGGCACGTACTTCGCGCTTCTGGTGAGTCCTGCGCTCTGCGGTACCCACTGCACATCCGGCAGAACGTTCATTGTACTTCCTCAAGGATATATCATCACTCCGTATACCCGAAAACTACTCTTTTCCCAAGATGCTAGAAGGCAGAGGGAAAGACTTCAAGTAGGCACTAACTATTTCTTATTCAATGCTTGCACCGACATTCTGAATAGAGCTTGCTGGTTCATGGCCCATGAAGTCGGGGTTTCCGCAATTCCCGTCAGCGAGGCGAGTTCATGGCTCTTCTTGTGTCCATAAAATATGAATGCTTACACCATTGCAGTTCTATTGTGATGAGCATCGCGGTATCGGTGAAGCATACGCCCGCTTCGCGTTCTGTAAGGACGTAGACACGCTGAAGCAGGCCGCTGAACGCTTGCAGCGATTGAAGGAATATTTATAGACTTGCTGCTACACGAGATAGTCCGAGTGCTATGGTGCTGACATTGATGCTTCGTCTAATTTGTCTATGATGCGTGACAAGTTGTCGTTTCCGGAGTAGGATTCGATATCATAGTAAGCAGGATTGCTTGCAATACGCCTCGTGAGCAAAGTCCAGCTTAATGCTTTCACTCCTTGATCTTTGTCCGTTATCGTACCCGCCTGTTTACGGGACCTATACCATTTTTGAAGGTGATCTGTCTCAAGTAGCCTAGATTCCAAGGGTATTCCATCCTCCAAGAACCTGGTATAGGCGTCTTTGCTCTCGGTGTGACAAAAGAGGTAAAAATGACCGGATAGGTTGTGCCGAACAGCAAGTCCCTGCATCCGCACGATATCCTGAACACTGTATTCCGTTGTGTGGCGTTTCCTAGTGGACGGATCGTATTGGATAGACTGTGTTCCCATGACGACCACAACGGCTGCACGGATTGGGACAGTGCGGCATGCCTCGCGCGGTATGATGAGGACCCTCAGGTGCCCTTCAATGTAGAGATCGAGCATCAGTTTCCTATCCGCCTTGTGGATGCCGTCATGGAAGATCCCGATTCCTCGACTGATGAGGTCGTACAATGTTTTGTCTTGTAAAAGTGCCTTCCAGTACTCCAGGTGGTTGTCAGAGACATGTGCTGTCAGGTACCCTCGCCCGGTCGGGTTCTTCAGCGTCGCCTGAGTATTGAGATCCGTCGCGATTGACCTGCATTGTCCGCGAGAAGGTACAAATACGATAGCTCCATCGTTAGTGGATGCCTCGCAGATAGCTGCATGCGCGGGTTTTGCCATGGCCTTTATGAGAGCAGCGGGCTGCGGGATGTTGAAGGACTGGATATTCTGGCTGAGTGCCTGATCACGATCTCGGGGTCGGAAACTGTGCAGCGCGAACGGGTCGACGTCAAGCCAGCTTGCAACGTCCCTGGGATCTGCCAAGGAATTGGACACCCCGATAAATCGTGTCGCCGTTGAACAACTCGCGTGACGTAGCTCGGCAATGGCGAGCTCGTACGTGGGGTCGAGTTCTTCGAGGTTCTCAAGTACGACCAGACGGAGGGAGGCCAACAGTTGCCGCGGTGGTTGACGCGAGAATGCTTCCAATAGGGGTCCTGCAGTTACTACGCGAATCGTTGTCCTTTCGACATCGGAGAATACGGATGTGTCCTGGATGAGCTCTACTGATATTCCCAGATCAGCAGACAGTCGTCGTAAGTCCGATGTCGCTTCCAAAGCAGAACTCCTTGTCGGAGACACGAGCAATGCCCACGTATCCGGAACTTGAACTAGGGTATGCCTAACGTGCTGTTCAGCTGAGCGGTGTGTAGCGGCCGTACGAAAACGTACAGAATCGAGGCGTGCGACATTGAAGACTTGCCGCTACCGGCTGGTGCGCACAGCAACGAGTGCTGTCTCGTTTGTAGAAGGCTCCAAGCCACTTGTGTCTGTATAGCATTGAAGCTAGACAATCGACGAGTGAGCGCACGCTGAAGCGGAGGGTAACCACAAATTGAAGGACCAAGAAACGGGAGATCCAAGCGACGGGTGTGGCCGTTGAACGGGGTTGGCATCGCTAGCGTGTCCAGCGGGACCCTAACTTCCTCTTCCGCCCCCATCCACCTGTCCGACACGAAGCGAATTGTTACTGACGATGGGACTTGACCGAGAGGAATTTGTATGATGAAATCCGCATTCAGATAGCTGGACCCTTCTCTAAAAGTAAGATATGCGGATTGGTGTATGAAAACACCCTCCTCGTCTTCCACCCAGATCCAGAAGGGTTCTGCCGAGCCATGGAGTTTCGTTGCCCAACTAAAGGCTCTCTCTATCCCGGTAGCGATTCTCAAGATATCAAATCCAAGAGGTCGGAGTCTGTAGGTAATGCGCGCTGTAGGAAATTGCTGCGCTGCAGACAGGAGAGCCGCTCCATGCCTTTCGTTGAGATGGATGAGCTGACCAAGTTCCGCTGCTTGCATCTGGGATAGCTCTGCGGGGGTATACTGGTCCGCATACTGGGTTAATCCGTACAATACTTCCGCCTTGAGTGGGAACTGTTTGAGGGGCTGCTCGAATGGCCACATGCGTTTTTCGATGGCTTTACTCATGCCCATGAGCGTGGCACTGACGCTAGCCCACTTGCGGCTAATTGCCATTTCGAGAAGGGCGCGAACAATCCGACCCGCGTTTTGGGCAACGTAGGCCATGTCAGAGACCAGTGCAAAATCGTCAACGTATGCGTTTGAAATGTAGGCTTGAAGGAGGATGTTGACCTTGGCCTGACTATTGTCGATGCTGGGGCCGCTATTCTGGCTCGTGACGGCGCGGCTCTAAAGAGGGTTTTCATAAGATGTCTGCACAGAACCATCGACCGAACCTTCAGATTGACGTCGCAAGGTATGCCCTCATTCAGTCTCTCCAGCTCCTCTATTTCTGATTCCCGCAATTGTATCTGGTCAAACTGTTGCAAGGCTGTGTGAGTAAGGTTCGTGCAAACACTTTATCAACACCGACTTCGGTACTCATGCTGAGCATCACTAGGACGTCAGCCTCTGTCATCTCGGCCTTGAAATGCTTGTGGAATATTTCGATTGAAGCAACCCTGATGTAATATCTTGCGGCAATCCTGCCAAGGTCTGTAATGGTCAATGTGCCCTTTTGGTCATCGTAAGCCACCATTCTGGCCTCCTGAAGTTGGCGAGCAGCGCTTGTTACAAGTTGCCTCCGCTTGTTGATTAGCTGAGGATCGTCCGCAGGCTCCTCACGGGGTAAACCTGTGGGGCCCAATGAGGATATTGTGGTGTCATGCGACGTGGGCTATATTACCGTATTGGGACGGGTTTTTGCGCATTCGTACGAACAAATACGTATAGCCGAGCCACTGTATCGCGTCAGCTTCGCTGGCAACGGTGCCAAGAGCAACCTCGGCGTTCAGAGCATCCACCATGCCTGCTGTGAACCTGTTCAATGATTGTGAGACCGAGTGGCATCATCACCATCGCTGAAGAGCCCCACTGTGACTCGATTGGATTTTGCGACGTGACCGCGTTCAGATAGTGATCCAGTTTGTCGTCCGTGGTACATATATAGCCCTCGCCACTATCTTCCAGTCCGGGACGACCAGCACGTCCGAATACCTGCAGTACGTCCAGTACTGATAGGTCCGCAAAAGAACCTTTGGAGCTATTGTACACCTGAGTGCCTTTGATGATGACTATACAAAGTCTTTGTCAGCATCCAGCGGAAGGAAAGAAAACAAATTGCGAGGTACAGACCCGCATGTGCAGGCAGGTTCACGCCCCAAGCAAGGGTCGCAGTACATACTAAAACCTGCATGTATCTTGGTTAGCTCTACACATTTCAAACATGTGATTCGAACCTTTATCGCCCGAGCTTCAAACATGCGCTCCATCATATTTCTATCGGACCGAAGCATGCCGGCATGATGAATACCAAAGCCGTTGTCAAACAGTTGCTTCATCTCCTTGTTTCTTGATTGCCCAATATCGCTCCGAAATTTCGACCAATGAGGATGATCTTCGCAACTGAAATGTTCCAGGATTCCCTCCGCCAAAGCCGCCTCCCGTAGCGCCAGCGCGGACTTGACTGTTTCTTTACGAGCATGAACGAAGACCATGACCTGATGGCCCCGGTTGACGAGTTCTTCAACTTTGTGATAGGTGGTTTGGTCGAGCCTTTTCCTTTGCAAGGCGCTGCCAGATTTGCCGCGAATGCCAATGAAATGTTGCTCGAGTGGAACAGGCCTAAAGGAGGAGTCGAAATAGAAGAGCCCCGTTTGCTTGGAGACACTGACAAAATGAGCAGCGCCGGTGAGCACATTGCAGAGTGACCCAGAGAATACCATGCCTCAGGAATTCGGCGACGTCGACATAGTTTGGAAGAGTGGCACTAAGCCCAACGATCCGAATGACCGATTGGGTTGATTCGACCTGGCCAACATGAGTACTGAAGCGTTCTCACCTGAAACAATATTTGTACCTGCCGCAGAGTGCGAGCCACGATGGTTTCGAGCACTGCCCCGCGCTCGTCATTAAGCAAATGGACCTCGTCGATAATCAGGAGTTTGACTTTCTGTCCAATGGTTCAACACAGCCTCCTTGACGTTTAGTTCATTTGACATACTGAAGCAATCTCTCCTTCTCCCGTGGGCTTCCTGGTAACCACATCCCATTTCTCAGGCGTGGTCACAATGATCTGGGTTTCAGAAACTTCTTGTCTTGTCATCTGCATATCACCTTGACTCAACCGTAAATATTCAGAACTGCTCTGAGGATATGAGCCTACCCGTCAGTTCTCGAACATTGATACCCAGCCACTTGAGCCGTTTACCGAGCTTCCGCGTGATCTCGGATGCGAGAGCTTTCATGGGAGCACTACACCTCGTTGTGAGATTCTGAATCTCGACCATGCTTCCTCGTTGCTCACACGTAAATGATCTTGAAGTCTCCTTTGTTGATCGTCCAAGCAAGTGAGCTCGGTTTGATGCATTCTTTGTTCCGATTTTGGTCAAGCACACGAAGGACAGTCAACATCGCTACATCTGTTTTGCCCTGGAACACAGTTCAGTAAGTGAGCGCGTTATTATATCGCAGGTATACATACAGCGCCCGTAGGAGCTGCAATCGAAGACATTGATAAGCGATTTTACTTGGTTGTCTAGGGAAATTGGTCGTAGAGCTCACCGCATACCAACATATTCTCGTTCGAACCGTAGGCTGTAGGGTACACGATTGACTGTATACGATTCAGACTCTCATAACCCTACTAGATCTCAGCGATAGTTCTGTTCAAAAGGATAAATGGACACGTACGGGGAACGATCCTTTGCACAATTCATCCAACTCATCCACACGCATTAGCCTTTCTGTTGCTCGCGGCGGCACAGGCTTGGCTGGGGGTATTATAACCTCCTCGTAGTCCTAAGGCGCCGTAAAGCATAAGTCCACAGTAGGGCGCGATGAACCCCGAACGCATGACTAACCTCATGATCATGCCGCGTAGTACCAATCGGGAGCGTATATTTGCTACCGTATTGGGAGAGTACATTACCCTGCACCATCAAGGCAGAAGTGTACACATGAGGCAGAACCTCAGGGGCGGGGGCCTACAATTGTGATATGGCTTAACATCCACCAGTCACAAGATCAACATCGTCTGTGTCATACTCACGGCCACACCTGTCCAAAGAGGCCTAGAGGCATTTGCCTTAAGAGTCTCTTCGATGTGCCTTCGTTGTGCCTTGTGATCCAGAATGATTGGCGCATCTAAAGGAAATCGCGCTGCAGTTGAGAAAGGGCTTCGGTACGCACGATATGAGCCTCACCGTTGGCTTCGGTAGTTTTTCTGAGAGAATCTTCCGACCTCGCATCACTAATAATTGCAGGTACCTCGATGATACGCGGAAGCTGTTGATGGACGTCGGATGCGATTTGACAGAGGAATCAAGCAGGAAGGCAGACCTCGGCAAGGATAGTAGAACGCTCTTCTAACAGGTTCGCTACAAGATCTAGATTATCGAAACCAAGCATTTCCGCGAGCTCTTCGGAAATTGCTTCATTTGGCCGGTTGGACGACAAAAACTGGTGTAACGAAGGCAATATACGAGCGATAGAGGGTTGTCTGTGACGTTCTCAGTATGTATCTCTGGCCTTATTAAACGTCAAGGTACTCACGATACCAGCTTTGATAGTATTGGAGACAAGCCATGTTGCTTGCTCGTAGAAGCCCGGAAAGCGTCGACGACTGAGGACCAAGATGAATCGCTATCAACCTGTGCCCAGTCTTCCGAGGAAGCTGCGCGACGCGTAGATGTTCAGTTTGTTTCTGCGCGGGGACGAGTGGTGGTTTTCTCGTACAAGCGCCATCAGCCGCCGAGACCCTTCAAACATGCATGTAAGTTACTGGACGCGATCCACTTCGTGAGCAATGTGACAGACTTCGTCCATTCTTCTGCCACGCGCAGATCTGAAGCATTATTTTCACTTGACACGGTCAAAGTATTCAGATGCTCGACGAAGGGAGACATGATCTAGTGGTGGTCCTCATTGTGCGAGGCCGCAATACTGAGTGTACTCAGTGTATTGCACAACTATACTTGGCATCTACATACAACACTACGATCCATACGTTGTACTGATTGATTACACGGCGAGTGATGTCACATCGAGAATAGTTCATTGCACACAAGATAACATATAGGATCATGATACCTATGTTGTTGGTGGAAACCTGTAACTACCGTTCTGCTTCCGCACAATGAACCTTGGGGTGCACCATATCGTGAGCTGGGACATCGTACCTTCTCTGTCAGACGGCCTGTGGTGAAGTGAAATATGACAGCGATGCACCACGGGGCCGTTGAGCAGCGAGGTACGTCCCAAAACGTTGATCAAGGTGCCGGTACCCTCCTTCATCACAGGGAAGATCCCAGGGATGGTGTTACCTGATGGAAGCACCGATGGCGCTCCCCAGGCGTACGGAGCGAACATTGGTACGTCCCAAAACGGCTCGTGCCAGGATTAGAAGACCCCAGTGCCTGAATGAAAGGTGAGGGACGTACCAGTGCGTAGACCCATCCTGGTAAGTACCATCGAACCTCTGGTGGTCCTGAGACATCGCAGCGTGCGTTGCTGGTGGCAGCAGTCGCTCTATGGTATGTCCCAGCGAAGCGCCCCAGCACACTGGTACGTACCACTCCTCGATCATGACAGGCACGATGTTCTTGAACCTGACCTCCCATTCCCAAGTCACCGCCTGGTACGTACCTGTTGCATTCCAGGTGTAGCATCCGGACGATCGCGCGATCAGCCAGTTGGGATGGGGGATCCCGCGGGACTTTGAGCCGGTGTGTATGGGCTGCTGAATGACGATATCTCCTTACGAGGACCCCTGCTCAATTCAGGCGGGGTATCATCGATGGTACGTCCCACTGACGTCCAATGTTGAGAATCGAGTCGACCGTGTCCGTGCCTTCTTTGATCCAGGTGATGAATCCAGCATGCTGGCCGTGGCCAGAATACGAGCCCCAAGAAGGTTGGCACAGGAAATATTGCGTAGAGCGATGTCGCAGTCTGAGAGTTCACAGAGAGGCCAAGAGGCAAAAGGGGCGAGAAGACGATCCAGCTCCGCCCACTCAGCTCCGGCGCCGAAGTAGTGGTACGTACCAAGGGAGAATATAACGCTGGCAACAAGTTCGTGCCAACTGACTCGACGTCGCAGAAGATGAACTCAACACAGTTACGGATGCGTGTCTGTAGATATGTTTTATAGTCTATTGATAATATGTCCAGTCCTGCGGGAACGATCCGAAGAGGATTTGGTACCGCCGTCGGGATACGTGTTGTATGCTGCATTGGCCTGGTACTTGCTGTCAGGACGCTGTGGGGACCGGTGGATGTCTGGGATGTCCCCTACCGCGAGCAGCCCGGATGCCGCCCGGCGCAGGAAGTACCAGCAAAAGTGGGAGATACCCTGCTAGCAGGCCTTCGAAGGCGGTTCAATCGGGGCGGGGAATCCACCTTACTAGAGCCCGTCAGAGGGGTGGCTGAGGTGAAGACGCAGACAAGCTTGCGGGTGTACACTGCCACCTGTTGTGCCAGTGACTCCCTGTGACTCCCTGGCATGAATCGCGATCGGGTGTGTCGTTGCGTTAACTGGTGATGGAGGCAGTCCACGCAATTCATTCGTCCCGACAGCTCATAATACAAGTGTTGGAACCAACATACAATGCCAATCCTGTTCAAACATTGCGACGTTGCCGCTTTGGGGTTACGAAGACGTCCTGATATTCACCCGCAGATGGAGGTGACTGAGAGTTGTTCGTGCCTTGCGAGTGTGAAGGTGTTGCAATGGGGAATAATCTCAAGGCTGGGAGAGGATGCTGGAACGTCGGCACTTTGGGTGGCTTGGAGGTTCGAGTCACTGTCCTTTGTCGTGGCGTTGGTGTAACAGATCCTGGTGCATGCAGCAACGAAAGGTGATCTGTCACGTAAAGCTCGATACAAAACCGCGGAGAAGAGCGGAAAGCACCTACCGAGGAACCGAGACTTTGTTGGAGATACTTCCAGGTCGATATCGAAATCTTCCCCACCATCAGAGCTATCCTCGGTTTCAAGACAAACAATCTCGCCATCCACATCTTCGTAGTCATCAGGGTCTTCGTCGTCCGATTCATCTATAGAGCTTGTATGTCCCAACTGCCCCGGCAGTAGCGGCTGGTCCGCAGTGGATTCCATATACTCATACTGCATGGCAGCAATTAATTCGTCGTTAGTAGGGCCCCAGGAGTCGGGCTGAGGTTGTGCCGGCGGGATATGACCCGCTCGGCGACGCCAGACAACAGCAAGATGCAAGAGCCTTTCCCGACGAATCTGAATCTGATAAACCATACCCGGGCTGAGATCTAAAGCACGTCAACATTGCAATCGTGCCGAGAAATAACCTCTCAAGTTTACCTACGGCCTCGCGTGCTTTTTCCACCGCAGCCCATTCCTCCCTGATCCAGAATTGCATTGTTGCACGCTCCTTGTAGATGCGTGCCATCTCTTCTTGGCAGCGATCGCGCTCGAGCATTGCGCGTATCCCTTTTCGAACCGAGTTGTCGGCAAGCCAACGAGGCGCAGAAGAGTCACATTTCTCGTCGTCCAAGAGCCCAGTATCTTGCCAGATCGGATCGTCCACGTCGAGAGTCCAAACAGTGGACACATCGATAGGCGTAGGAGCCACCGCTCCCCGGGGGGCCTCGCCCTTCCGGATCATGGCAGTCATCTCGCTACACAGCGCGTTGTATTTTCGTACGACGGTCGTGATGGAAGACTCGCGCTTTGCAATAGCATTCGCGACATGGCCTTGTAGCTTACGCTCTGCACCAAGATTTAGCTTCCAATTCATGGCCCAGACGTGAACTCACCCGACGAATGTCCATGGCGCAACTGCTCGATCCGGCCAAATTCAAATTTGCGTTGCTGCAGCCGGTTCCGAAGCCGTGTTTTAAGAGCGAGTGCGTTTGCTTTACGGCCAAGGAACTTGTCCTTCCGCAATGCGTCAAGGTTCTGGCGAGACGGTTCATCCAGGAAGCCCTCGAGTTTAGCAAGCCTCCTCCGTGCGTTCGTTCGGTCGTCTTCCAGTACAGTCTGGCAATCCAAAGACTGGAACGCATCCCCGTCCATGGGGTTGGCGTCGGCGGCGGTGATGGCAATGTCAAGGTTTCGAATACGTTCTTCGAGTGCCATGATAGCCTCGACGTACTTCGCGCCAGCATTCTTCGATTGCCCTACAAAGGAGTATAAGAAAAAGACGAAAATGTTGGATAATGCATACTTGGCATAGGCTTTGTCTGGGCGTCCCGCTGATTGATCCATTCCGCGCGAAGTGAGTCTTCATCAACACCGCACTCCCGTAAATCTTTTTCGGCTTCAATTAATCGTATCCGGCATGTATCGTGCCTCCTTGCTAGCCACACTGCAAGATTTAACAAGTGTTTGAGTATAATATGGTGAGCTTGGCAATCTAGGAGGTAGAGTCGTTGGAAATACTAGATGTCCACGTCAGTGATCAGATACGACTACGGCAATGAAACCTTACACCGCTTCCTCTTAAAATTCTGATGAGATGATCGAGGGCGCTCCAAAACCGTTCAGCACCTTCACCATCGCTGAACCCAAAGCCATCGCATTTCCGTGGATGATAACAGAGCTGACACACCCATTGGTGCCCGTAAGCATGGAATACGGATATTGCAAAAGTAATACGATCACGGATGTTGCATAAGAAGTCCCATTTGTAGACGCTCCGGTGAATTTGACAACCTATATCGTACAATACGCCGGCATGCCATGTAGTCGGTATGTGTTGGAAGAGCTTGTCGATCAGAGCAAGCGCGTAGTGCTGGCGTTCTCCGGCACTGGTCATATTGATCATCCAGAGTACGCAATCGTGTCGGCAGATGAGAGCTACGAGTCCGGTGTCGTCGAAGAAGGTGGTGCTTGCCTTCTCGCGTTGTTCGTCGGCAGCTTTGAAGGACGCTTCACAACCGTCGAGGACCGAGTTCGGCACCTGAAGAGGACCCTCACATTTATCAGGCTCTACCATTGCGTTGTCGTCAGGGCGTGCGTTGGGGGCTGCTCTTTTCTTCCCTTGAGTCCCACTTTTGTTCTGCGGTGAATCAGTTTGGCTTCGGCGCTCTGACACATATTCCTCCATAGCTTTAACCTCGGCCTCGGACATGAACATGGTGTCGGGGTGGCTTTTAGTTGGATCACGCGGGCCAGCACGGCGTTTCTGGCTAAAACAAGCATCGACGCATACAATCACGTCGTATCTGGAGAGTGTCAGAAGCGGAATCAGCCGGTCACTGGCAATAACGCACTCCTTGGATTCTCTCTCGCTGCCTGTGGCCGGGCCCCCAAAACACAACGGGCATCGCAATCGTAGATACGAGCTCGGCTTTCCTCCCTGCGCATACGAGCCCGGTAAGGAGGTTGTGACGAGCGACGTGCAGGGGAGCGCCCGTTGGGGTTACCAACTACTTAGACAGCTGGAATGTCCAAGTAATCGGGTAGAGTCGGTAGGAAAGGCAGCGTCGTCGACACTTACTATAGGCAAGAGTACACGCGAAGAAAGAGGAGCTGAGCTCGACTCAAGGTCACTGGACACGAGGTCGACAGCGACGCAATGGGCACCTAATGGACTCAAGGTCACACACTAAGTCCCCAAGACACAAGTTAGTATAGTATTTAATACAGAGACGGTTACTCACCTAAGTCCCCAAGACACAAGAGGTCGAGATGGGGACTTAGGGCGAGCTACAGGGGTCTTATATACACAAATCCATGGTCCAAGAATAGTACAAGAGAATCACATGCAGGGCACAAGGATGAGTAAGACCGACCCACTTAGGTGGGTCAGGATTATGAATCAAGGAGTTAGAAGGAATA